ATCTGCAGTTCGCCCTCACGTCGCCAACGATTCCGCGAGTTTGCAACTCGCACCTATTCTGCTGACGAAACCCTTCCCAATGGGCATCCTATATGGCGCCTCATGCCTATACGCGATGTCCGGACACGATGGAACTCAACACATGCTATGATGGGTCGAGCACTTATTCTCAGAAAGGTGAGCATGTTTGGGGTGTTCTGCCTCGTATTTTTGCTAAAGTATATCACTAGGCAATCAATCATTGGGTTTTTGATAACGACAAGCTTACAGATCTCTATCTTCCCCCTTACGATTGGGAGGAAGTCGAGATGATTCATGAACTATTACAGGTACGTCATTCACTCTGTTGGTTACTGGCGATTTTTTGATGTCGACTTGTTTTACACGTGAGCAGGAGTTTGCTGAGAATACACACATCATTTCTGTCGAACGTGTTGCCACCCTCCCACTTGTACTACCCCTATACCACCAAATGAGGGTGCACCTCGACAAGTACATCGAGGACACTGCCAACAAGTACCCGCTCAAGATCCGTGAAGCCGCTGCTGCTGGTAAAGCAAAGCTCATTCAATACTTCGACATGGCCAAGGGCTGCCAGCATAACGTCATATCAACTGGTAAGCTCCAGTTCTTTATACCTGATTGTATTTCGTGCTCACTACTCGATTCTTCAGTCCTACACCCCTATTTCCGGGTCGAGTGGTTTGATGTGCTCGGTGCGGACGAAAAGGAGCGTGCATCTGACCTTTTCAAGGTCGTCTACGACATCTACGCGAAGGAGCGTGCTCCAAAGTCTGCCCCACCATCACCGGTCAAGCGCCCAAAGCTCAACACAACAAACTCCCTTGCAAAACTAAGCTATACTCCCCTATCTGCGCCCAGGTTGATTGATGCTCCAGTTCGTACTGAATTTCAACGATGGACAGATGGTGAGGGAGGTTTTTTCGACGATCTAAACCAATCCCTGGATTGGTGGAAGGTATGTATCATTGCCTTCATAGTAACATTATGGCATATTCACTTCGACTTAAGGAGCATAACACTGACTTCCCAGTCATTGCCTTGATGGCTTGTGACTTTTTAGCCATACCAGCCACATCCGTGTCTGTTGAACGTCTATTTTCGGGTTCACGCCACGTTTGTCGTGACTCTCGTTCCTCGTTTAAAGCGTCGACTATTACTAAGGTCATGTGTACGAAGAAATGGCTTGAGGATGCTGACCTATTCTTCGAAGCTGTTTCGAAGACTAGATAGTACTATGTAAACTGTTTATATCCGAATACTGTACACGGTTTATACGAATACAACCGTTTCTGTGTAAATTTACGTTGGGGTGTACACGTAAACTAAATGGTTGGAGCCCTAGGTGTATTCTTGTCCTGCGTATCCTTGGGGTGTGTTGGCAAACTATATTAGTGCTCATCTTGAACCATATCGCAGGCCAATCACTATTGGTGCGTGATACCGCCATTATGGCCACCCATGACGCAATCTTGACAGTGTGCGTGAAACAGACGTGAGCAGCCAACTCCCAACAACAGGAGTGTCCGTTCGTGAAGAATGACCTGGTCTAAATCTCAACCAAGAATCTAAGTCTACCAAAGGGTACTGCGAGGAAACTCATACCTAAGTTCATTGGCCCTTATTGGATTATCAATGACTTTCGCAATAACTTGTTCTGTGTGGAACTGCCAGCGCATCTACAACAGCGAGGGGTTCACAATGTCTTCCATGCTTTGTTGTTGAGGATTTATGTCCCGAATGACGACGGTTGTTCCCTGGGCATCTTGACCATCAGGTTGCGGAGTTCGAGGTGCCAGGAACTGAGTGGGCAATCAACTGAATTCTTGGACATCGGGGCACGTGCACCAAAGCGACGTTCAAAGTCATGTGGACATCCAGGGACATAACCTGGATGAGGCATGATGAGCTCAATAAACAGGAAGCTTTAAAGGATTACCTTGACGTGTTAGGCATTGACAGCATATCGGATCTGTGAGAAGGCATGGCATGACCGCCGTCTGATGATCTGCAAATATACGCTGGTCTTGTCCATATGGGCGCCAACACAGATATAAGAGAGTCGAGGATGAGGAAGTGGTCGAGATCAGCACTCACACTTCTGTGGCAGCTAATCTTACTCACTTGGAACGTTGCTGCCGCATCCCTCATCCTACTCCTCCCAAAAATGGCCCCTTCCGGTGGTCGACCCCGCTGACGCTGTCTGTTTAACATGGGCAATGACGGCTTTGTATAACTGGAACACAAGGGTCAGCTCTTGTCATACTCCATTGAGCAAGTACACGTGATCCACAAACACAATCATGCTATACGCCAGCACCTCAACAATGTCGAGCCAGCAGGCTACCAGATCACCGCGTACAAGCACAACAGGAGCGGTGGCGCCAGACAGTTGATCCAGCGTGATGACGATAGTCATCCAATCTTGACAAACCTGTGCTGTGCCCCAAAACTTGAAGGCCTGCTCGGCGACCACGCGCAGCTCGCGTGCTCGCTCCAGGCTAACAGCTACACAGTGCTGTTGCCTGAAGAATATGCGAGGATGACAGGGGTCACCTTGCATTTGTTGGATGGGAAGGTGAGGGCGGAGCAAAGGGTTAATAGTCGGAGGGGTGGTGGTGGGATGCTGATGGTGCTACCGCCTGTTGGAAGGATGAACATCAGTAACTCGTGGCCGCTCAGGCAATTGGGACGTGGTGGATCATACCACAGATCACCGGCGCCCCCGCCACGCCATCATTCCCCTTGCTTTTGGTTGCCTCGTCACAACAGCCAACCCTATCACTCGTCCACTCGCCACCGGTCTCCAGTCAGCACCTGTATTGCCATGAATGCTCTCCTGGTCCCTCCACTCACGGATGTTCTTGTTGTGGACAATTACCCAGTTCCACTTCTCATAGTCGCTCTTGCGAACGTTCTTGTTCTTTGTCTCGCGGAGCGCACCGGCGCGACTATCATGACAGGTCAGCAAGGGACTCCAACTTCAAGGACAAGCACATACCGGAGAAGACTCACAGGGCGTGTAGCGTCTCTCGCTCTCCCTGCGCCAATGTCCGATGATCCAGATGTTGCAACTCGCCCCTGGTCCATCTAGCATCCGCCAACATCATTTCCAAGCTGCCAACACCATCCATCACCATTCCCGCTAAACCTGCAAAGCCGGTCAACAAGTCAGTCCCAACTGTCGACAAACATAAACCCACTTCCGGCAACACTTCCATGACGTACCCTCCAAACATCCTTCTCTTCGACCCTAAGGCCACTTGTAACCCAACTGCAGCGGCAGCAACCACTGCGCTCGCTATGGCCACTAACACGGATGAAGATGTCGCGATGAACACAGTGGAAGATAACCCGATCGTTGCTAGCGGGCTGTTGACCATTGAAGCCTACGCAGATGATGATGAATTGGTGCACCCAGCAACCGTAAAACCCTTGAAGGATGACAACGACCTTGGCAACGCCAATGCTGAAGGTGAACCCGACCCCGATGTGGTGGATATCGGCGGAAAGGAGTCAAGGATGCAGGCAGCAGTCAAGAGGAGACAGGTGCTCCTCTGGAGGGGGGGGGGTGTAGCGTGTACAAAGTCCATATTGGGGCTGAGTGGCCCAGCCTCTGCTTGGCCACTGGCCCGTCTGCGTACTGCATGGTCACTTACACTTACTCTCCCTTTCCAGCGAATGCCAGAAGGCGATTATCTACTCATATATAAGACATCAATAAGACATGCATGTACCTATGAGAATGGCAGTGTTCTCCCTCTTGAATCTACTTCAATTGGCTGGTTATTCAACCTTGGGAACCTCTAGTGTGCCGCTCTACCTAGTCTGGTACTACGGTGAATCATCACACCTAAGAAGTGATGTCATAGACATGCAACATACATATCTCTAGTGGACAAGGACAAAGAGCTGCACTGAGATGGCTTGGAGATAGCTACAGTATAGCTCCAAAGTTCCAGAGGCATAGGAAAATGACCCCAGAGGCACATAGAGGACCAGAGCATAACCTAGTGCAATGGATAAGACACTCAAAGGGGTGGTTGATATGATGAAGATGATGAGATCCTGTAGTAAGATACTCTGATGCTCCAAAGTGCAGGAAAGTACCTTCAGAGCTCTGTAGGAGTGTGGAGTACTTGCATCATAGGAGGACCACAGGATATGACAGGTGGACCAGAAATGTCTGGAGGTTGCTGGAGAACTTGGGAGGCTACAGAAAGAAGATGCAAGAGTAGTAATGATGTGGAAGTGTAGCCTGAGTGTACCAGGATAGGGGTAGGAGCCAGGGCTAGTGCATGGCACATGACATGTCCCCTCTGCACTTTTGCCACTTTTACAAAACCCCAGTACAAAATCACAAATTGTGGCAGTGATGAGACCCCAATTGCACCAGATAGGTATCACTTGCAGGATTGTGGTACAAAATTGGACTAACAACTGCCCCTTGGTTGAGTGAGTAGATGACTGATGCACTCAGCAAGTGTGTAATTAAGATGACTACCACTCCTTTGATATACATAATCACCACTACTACATGTTTGTATAACAATATTTACCCAAATTTACAGATACAGTGATCCTATGAAACACTCTACAACCACTGTTCATACTTAAATCCACCAAGGCCAACAGAATCTGAGGTTGTATCAGCAACATCAACATACGCTGCATAAGCAGTTGCAGGTATGTCAAACAGATATTCATCGGTGCCTTTCTGTACAAAAGAGCAGTAAATCCTGAAATCTTGTTTTGAAGGTGCATCTAGTATGTATTGGCTCTGGTCAACATATCTAACAATCTTATTTAAATCAGGATCAAAAGAAGTAGAGTTACTTGCGTACCTCTGATATTCAGCCTGTTCTTTCTTCGGTATCACAGGGTTCAGTAGTTGCACGGCAACAGCTTTTGTTGAATTTGGATCCTCATATGGGGCCCTCTTGTTAGGACGTTCACGTTTTGGCAAGAGTTTGCGAGGAGAGGATACTCGTCTTGGTTGAGCAGATGTTCCCATCCAACGACGTACACCATCAATAAGTCTAGGATGGCCGACAGTACTGTGTGGGAGGAACGGGCTCCTAACCAGGTCCCTCATAGAGTTACTGTTCAAAACGTGTGAGAGGAGCACTCGTTCGACCAAACTCACTTACCCCGGCAGCTTCAAGGTATTGTTCATAGAATACGCAAAATGCTTCCCTAACGACGTGAATAATAGGGGCCGGTAATACTCGACCCAAAAGTCTCCCTTGGTAATGACAAGATTCTGCAGACTGGAGTTGCTGCGTTCGAGAAGATCTGGCCGCTCGAGGTAATGGTCATGGAACCACTTCTGATAACCGGCACGCTTGGTCACCCGCGTGATATTGTGTTCACCAACACCGAGGAAAAGGTTGATCGCCATTTGCTTGTCAACATCTGAGAGACATTGAACCAGAGTTTCGCCCATACAAGGCCGGCAAACGTACCGAGCAGGGTGTTTGTATAAAACCGTCTGATATTCTCGATAATGTCCCGTGAATGACTGTTCCAGTGAGGCATTCGGCGGTATGTCTCGACGCGGTTGACCAGAGCGCTACCAGTGTACTGGAGTGCCAGAGCTTCACAGAACATATCAGGACATAAGCAAAATACTGCAGAACCCTCACTTACTATCACCATGGTCGTGATACATCTCCGTGAGCATGTTGACCGCGTCGGAATCAAAAGCGAGATTGGGACTGTCAACTATGCCCAGGGCGTATAACTGGTGGCCCAGTGCACGCTTTCCGAAGACGAACTGCGCTGCATTCGTCCGGTCAAGGCAATCAACGCAGTTTGTCCGGCAGATTCCGCTCTGCAAGGCTATGGTGTCGCGCCGGGGCTGCTTCGGTCCCTCTTCAAACCTTAAGCACTATTAAATTCGAAACAAAATGATTATCGGCCAACCCACTCGTTATGTTCACGAAACTGATGCGAATATGCTTCAGGACCCGAGTGGAAGAACCCAGTGGCTTGAATCGACTCCTCAGCTATGTCTTCGAGGTAACTGATGACATCCCGCGTTTTCCTAACCGTAAGTCAGCTGCTTGAACCAAACACTCGAACAAGTTGATTACTCTTTGTAAGCCCGCGACATATCCCAAGCGATATAGTCCATCTTCTTGTCATCCGAAAGGAACTGGTTGAGGTACTTCACGCATTCCGTGTACTCCACCAGAAGCTTCGACTCTCTGGGCTGAGGTTCGCGGCGTTTGATCAGGTTCAGGATTGTTATCGGGGTTCCATAGCGTTTGAAGAGATCATCAAAGTGCAGAGAGGCCGCAACGTAAAACGGGTCAACGACGCTAACTATCTCAAGAATTCAACGATGCGCCATGGGGGTATACGAAGATGGTGATTCACTCTCGATAGGTGGCCGAGGGTTCATGTTGTTTGCCTCTTGCGTCCAGAATATCGGGATACTGCCTCTGTACTATGCACACTTGCCTTAGCTTCGTAATGCCAGTAGAGTGTTCTCCCCCATACCTGAACGTAGCTGGTATAGTAGGGATTAGGCCGTCGAGGCTGAGGGTCCCCCAGGACAGACCGATTTTTCGGGAAGTAGAAAGGGGTCGTCAGTGCTTCCGACACGATTTGCTCTGTTTCCACCTCGTTGGCTACGTTGCCCTGGGGCAAAGCTCAGTCTCGCCAAAATACCTGTCACGAGTATGCTTCACTCACTTCGTCATTGACTCCTCTTGTCAAATAACGTGCACCAGCATAGTGCCGTGAACGGCGAGCGATCAGGGTAACAAAAACAATTCGACCCAAAACTGCGAGTTCTGTGAAAAATTAGGTACCACTGCTCTAATGGAATGCAGCGTATGCATACTTACTGGCCTGATCGACATGTCCATGTATTAGCGGTAGTAGCCAATGAGCTTTGCTCGGAGAGTCACTCTCAAAAGGGGACGTCATGAGATGGAAATTCCAGGCAAAGCGGTCCGTGAACGGGTAGTAGTTCCCTTCGTCGAGTGGTTCGAGACGCGTCAAGTTATTCTGAAGTGTCGATGTCAGGTCGTAAGCATAGCTGAAGGAACAAAGGTCAGCAATGGCACAGGGTAGCCAGTCCGGAACAGACCTAAAGTAGAAGTTCTTTGACATGTCGACTTGTTTGAACGTGTTCAAGAGCTTCTGTTCCTCTGCAGGTTTGTCAACCCTATGGTTAAATGAAACTGGGATCATCTCCGTATTCTCGCAATGATAAAGGTAGTGGCCTCCGAGAAGCGCAACAACGGAACGCTTGGTTATGACAATCATGTACCAGCCAGCAGTAAATCTAACAAAACCTTGGCTAATTCAGGCTAAAAAGTATAGTGTGATCACGAAGGCAGGCGCACCAGCAACACCGAAGATCACTCGAGCCTTGCCCAGGCCTCCCGAGCTCTTGTTCCCATCATCAATCATCTTGAGTAGCTCATTCATATGCTTCCCACTGTACTCGGTCTCATCTTCTTGAACAGTGAGCTCCTGCTGCGAAGCCCTGTCTATGCGTGTGATGCGATGGCGCGAATCCGATGCATTCGAAGAAACAATGTAAAAGCGAAGTCGGTTCTCGTAAAGGATAAACTTGTTGAAGGTCGAGCACTTGGTAATCGTTGACGGGGAAGCTCGCTGAGAAGGGCGATCTGATTGAAGCGAGGAGGAGACGTGAGGTGGCAGCTCATGGGGAACAGGTACCGTTCCGGGGAATGAGGATGCCTCCTCGACTGTTCGTGTTGAAGACGTTACGGCGACGTCTTCTGCAGACGACTTCACGTCGCCACTTGGCATGATGGGCGAGCGTTAGTTGAGACTCAGAGTGTCAAGTGATGAAGCCGGTGAGGAGTAGCATTGGATTTGGAAGCAAGAGACGCTTGTCGCTTGGTCTGACCGCGTCGCGGCCATGTGATCAACGTCATCGCGCACTGGTCTACAACTCCACTATATTGCATGAGCCATCCATAGGTAGCTTCAAGAGGCCTCAGGGCGGTAATCGCTCGTACTATTAATGTAAAGTAGCCTTGTATGGATCTACACATATCTACGCGCTCCGCAGGACCACAGAGAGCTCCAGCAACCAGCTTCTTCCAGTTACTTGTCGTTGTAGTCGCGGGAGAGATCTATCGACCCCTTCAAATGTGTGTTTGTGATGCGAACAGGTCGTTGACGAGGAGCAGAGCGTTTGCCCTTCTTCTTCCCATTCGGTGCTTTTGGCACGAGAGCCTCCGACGCAGTTGCTTGCAAGCCCTCTGCAAGAAGACGATTAGCAGGTGGCCTAATTCAACCAGAAAAGCACAACGAACCTGACTTCAGTGCCTTCAGAAGGTCAGCTTCCGCTGGCACCTTGAGCTGGTGCCACAGATCCAGAAACTCTATTGAAAACATCAGATACAACGAAGTGCCCTCGGCGGGTGATGCGGTGCGGAAAACGCACCTTTCTCGACCTGGTTCCCGCCACTCTCTTCATCCGGTTTAATCTCGTTCCAAAAGACCATGCGCAACTGTCCATCTTTCTGCGTGCGCGTCACGAGAACCTCACCTTCTTTCTCGAGCTCCTCAATTGCTTGAGGGGCTTCCTTCCACGACTCCTTGAGCGCTCGGACTGGGATACCACCACCTTTCCGTGTCTGGCGTTGTATTTCAGTTAACAGAGCCGCCTTATTCCGGAAGCTATAGTCGTGCTGTGAAAAGTAAGGCAATGTTTCATCAGATCTGGTGAACCTCTATACCCGATATGAATACAAGTCTGTCTTTGGATCATACTGGACACGATCATGAGCCTTGAACTTTTCGAGCAAGACCATGTCCGTGTCTAGGGGCGTATTGGTGACGATAGCAACGTCTTGCAATCGCATAGGATTATGGGTAGACTGAGTTCAGAAGCCATGAGCTCTCAACCTGGGTAACGGCACACATGGACCATCACTTTAAGGTGGTTGATTGCATAAACCAGCTGGGTATTGACATTCATACCAGTGCCAGTATCAGCTGGCTGGGAGAAAACGACATCTGGTGCAGCGAGGTCACCTCAGTCGCAATACTTGACCAAGGGAAGGAGACACTCACTGGTCTTTGGTCGCTTCTTCTTGGAAGATGACGCCTCCTGGGCAACGGAAGGCTCAACATGAGATGTTGCTGGTGCTGGCTGGGAATGCCATGACTTGAAATCTGCGCGTTGAAGGCTGCGCTTGAAGTCTGCAGCGTCTGCCTTGAGTGAGGACATGGTCGTCGGCGGCAAGAGCGAATGCGGTGCTGTCGAGTCCGAAGTTGCCGACGCAACCTGCCCAAAGTCACGTTTTGCTGAATAATGCGGGGAAACTCAAACAGACGCGTCGACGCTTGTTGGTCCTTGTCCCCCTGCCCTGTCGTCCCTAGGGAGGGCACAACATCATCCTCCTCCTTATCGAAAGGCTGGTCTAGGTTATGTGTTATGGCTTACTTCTCAAGACCTCAGGCAAGCAACTCGGCTATCAGGATTGTCGCTCCTGGTGAACAGGAGGACAAGTCCATCAAGCCGCAGACGCCCAAGAAGGGTACGTGTCTCGCGTCTCCTGAACACACGAGCAGGACTTTCGCTGAACAGTCTGAACAAAGATTCGACTCAACGACAATGCCGCAACGTTCTCATCTATGGGTAGATCACATCGTGTCATGTCACCAACCCGATCACTGATTCAGGATCTAGTTCATGTAAATTTCAGGATAAAGGATGTCACTACTACCACCCTTCGGTGCGAGACGCACTTGTCGACAGATCGAATAACACGCTAATGCTTCGATCCGTCTAGATCGAATCTTATTCCACTACTCCAACGTACGGCGCTTTCCACAACATTCACTACATCACCCATTGACTAGGCTTTTGATCCTGCCTCCAGTGCCGCTCCTGGCTTATCCACCGGTCTCTCCGCCGAAGCTGTTAACGCCCCCGTGTTCGTTCCCAAAGGCGCCTCCAGCTCGCTCTCTCCTACTTTAAGCGCAACATCGTAAGGCTTTGTCTCATATGTTTTCACATTCACTTCATTTATGCTAGCACCACCGCCGCGTCGCCTCCCCCGATCGACTACCAGAGTAATGATCAATATAATCCTTACCTTTCTACAGACGCTATTGACTCTGGCAATGCTGGTGGCATGCCCATGGACGCTATGGGTTACCCGCGGGACTTTCATCAGGTTAGTCTACATTTTACAAGTTTAGCCTTCTGTTAATGTGTGTGATTGACGACATCAGTCACCATTTGCTGAAGGCGACCTTTCCATGAACGGATTTTATGCCTCAAATCAAGCAGGTTTTGTCCGCCAGCCGGTATGAACTTCACAAATATACTTTGGCGGCATACTGAACCAATAATGGCGCTTAGCTCAACTATCATATCTACACTCGGCCAATCGACAGTGCCAACAGCCACTTTATCTCTGATTCACTCCGTGAGGAGCTCCAGAAACGTGCCGAAGCCACTCAAACCTCCATCGGACCATCCATGGGCCTTCCGGAGGAACTTCAAGGCTATCATTCTCTTGCGCCGTTGGAGGAGACCACTGGCGAGAGACGGAAAGTCTTCAGCTGGCACTCCACCGTGTATCGGGCTATCAACGCAGTCGATGGCGTGGCATATGTCCTCCGCCGGATTGAGAGTCAGTTTATTTAATTTCTCTGTCTAAAAGCTATTGTTGACCAATGAAATCAGATTATCGTTTGGCTCAGTCATCCGCCTTCAGCTCGATTGAAGCTTGGTCTCGCATACGGCATCCTAATATCGTTCGCCTCCGAGAGGCCTTTACAACCCGTGCCTTCAACGACAACTGTATGTACCCCACCCTTGAATACTGGAGAACGATGCTAACGGTGGTTATCAGCGCTTGTGGTTGTATATGACTACCACCCTAATGCTCTGACTCTGCAAGATGCTCACTTGAAGGCCAAACCTATCGCATACCACCGTTCTCGTTCAGCGTCGGTCCCGGACCTTGTGTCAGAAGCCGCGTTATGGTCCTACATTGCTCAAATCGCCAGTGCCATTAAGACAGTCCACGAGGCAGGTCTTGCGGTTCGCATCCTGGACCCGTCCAAAATTCTACTTTATGGAAAGAACAGGTTGGCTAATTTCCATCATCGCATAAACGATGGCAGGGCTGAATATATTTAAAGGGTCCACCTTGGTTCATGTGGAATTGTCGACGTCTTGATGCATGATACCCGACAAGATATCGCAGCTCTTCAGCAAGAGGACTTTATCATGTTTGGCCGGCTCATCTTTGCTCTATGTTGCGGTACCACCACAGCCATCAGCTCACTGGCGAAAGCAGTTGAAGCTTTATCGAGGTATTATTCCAACGACATCAAGTCTATAGCGTTGTATCTTGTCTCAAAGCCAGGTAATCCCAAGGTGAGATATGAGCTTCTGTTCTTCAACACAGGCTGATCCCTCCATACAATTTCACAGAATATTGCACAAGTCTTGGATCTGGTTGGCAGGCCAAGATTGGTTCGCGAGATGGACGAGCTGCATACCGCAGTGGATCGCGTTGAAGGTGATCTGATGAGCGAGCTCGAGAACGGCCGGCTATTCCGACTCATGTGCAAACTCGGATTTATCAACGAGCGGCCAGAGTAAGTTTCTCTTTCTCGATTTCATGCAGTGAGGTTTACGGACATCAAACAGATTCGCTCGCGAGCCACGGTGGTCCGAGACTGGCGACCGGTATATCATCAAGCTTTTCCGCGATTACGTCTTCCACCAGGTGGATGAGAATGGCAACCCGGTCCTCAACATGTCCCACGTCTTGTCTTGTCTGAACAAGGTTTGTCCACCCCACTCAAAACTGCGGCAAAGGACATTGACAAAATTTTACCTTTGATCAGCTTGACATCGGGGTGGAGGAGCGAATCATGCTGGTATCTCGGGACGAGCAGAGCTGCTTGGTGGTGAGCTACAAGGAGGTGAAGGCGTGCGTCGACTCTACCTTCAACGACTTGGCACGGGGTTGAGTTAGCTCCCCATTTATATAATTACACGTATAACTTGAAAAAGACGCGTAAAATAGAAAAATGGTGTTTCCACTCTAATTGCTTGGCCACTTGGAGTGACATGTGTGGGGTCACAGCCACGTGTGGATGGCATTCTAGTGATGTCATAGGTGGACGCGGTCATATGCGTTGGGCTGGTTGAAATTGGCACTTACAAGTTCCTCCTCGATCTCATGCAGACCTCTCACATCTTTAGACGCGTGCATTTGTCACAATCTCGGACTTTCTCCGCGAGCTGCTCGGTCCTAGGCAGACGCGCCATTGTCTACTCTCAGAACGGCGAGCCATCCGAGGTTCTCAAGGCTCTGACCTCCGACGACCTCCCGCCTCCTCCCCCGGGCACTGCAAACATCCGCTTCCTCCTCTCTCCAATCAATCCTGCCGACATTAATGTCATCCAAGGTGTCTACCCCAAGAAACCCGACCCACAGACCACCCTCAGTTCTTCTGGCTTGGGAAGTCAGGACTCCCCGGCATTCGTCGGCGGTAACGAAGGTGTCGCAGAGATCACCGCACTTGGGGAGGGTGTCGCGGGTTTGAACAAAGGTGACTGGGTGATAATGGCAAAGCAGCAATCCGGGACCTGGTCCTCCACGCTGAATGTCGCGCATCAAGACGTGACCAAGGTACCCCAGGATGGCCTGACCGAGGTTGACGCTGCAATGATTACGGTGAACCTTCTTTTTCATGTACCTTTGTGTCACTGTTCCTCATACGTACACAGGTTAATCCTCCTACCGCATACAACTTACTTAATGACTTTGCGTTGCTAAGGAAAGGCGACTGGGTGGTACAGAACGGCGCAAACAGTGCTGTAAGTCTGCCATGTTGTAACCATACGAGGCAATCTGACGAGGATAAAGGTTGGGCGGGCTGTAATTCAAATAGCTGCTACCAAAGGTTTGAAGACCATCAACTTTGTCCGCAACCGGTAAGTAGGCACCAAGCCTGAACTTAGCCTGAGCGTTGTGAAAGCACCATATTCAGTTGACATGACTCTCTTTTGTAGCGATAACTTTGATGAACTTAGGAACGAGCTTGTCACATTGGGCGCAACCCACGTTGCCACATATGACGACCTTATGGACAAAGCATTTATAAAAACAGCCAAAGGGTGGACGAGCGGCCAGGTAAGACCTATCTTCAGCAAACAATAACATGCTCCTAGAACTCATCCACGCCTCGGAACAAGGACATCCGCCTTGGTCTGAACTGCGTCAGTGGTAAGCCCACGAGCCAAATGGCTCGACTGCTTGGAAAGGATGCCCATCTTGTTTCGTACGGTGCCATGTCCAAGGAACCATTGTCACTACCAACGTCCCTTTTCATCTTCAAGAACCTAAAGTGTCACGGATTCTGGCAAAGCCGGTGGTATGAGAATAGCAGCCGCCTTCAAAGGGACCAATTAATAGAGACGCTTGTCAATTACTTCCGCGACGGCCAGGTGTGTCTTATCAGCTTTCAATAATGGTTCAGCGCGGGGTATTGATGCTGCATCAGCTGAAGAGCCCTGACTACCGAATGATCAGCATAGAGAAGCATCTGTCCGATGAGGAGGCGGGTCAGCGAATACGCGATATCATGCGAGGTATGTCTAATGGGGAGATCAAGGAGAAGGTCCTTCTCCGGCTAGAGGAGACCGCGTGAGCTCGCTGCGTTCTTTGTTACACTCGTTATTCCTGTAAATGTACTTCCATAGATGGGTAGCGCCGCCATGATGGCTGTATTGTTAAAGTCCAGTACATAGCAAGCAGCTCATCTCGTTTGAGGTGAATAGAGTCGGAAACAAAAGGCGGAGAAAGGATTAGGAGTTGCACGTTTGTCATTAGTAGAATAGAATACAAGGAACGATCATGTGTAATGCGTTCCTGATTGGGGCAAGTGAATTGTGAACTTGTTGGTTTACGTCCAAACTACCTGGGTATCCCTCACTTACCGTTCCCTACCACCGCGACCCATCGCGTCGCTAGCAAGCCCGACAACGACACTCACGTCCACCAGCACAGTCGAGCCTGTCCTACCACCCATCCTGCTCGATATACTGGCACGAAGACGCGGTACAATGTCGACGGGCACGGCAGCCGCTCTCCCCCTCCAACAGTACCCCGCATCCTCTGTCACTGAGAGCCGCCATGCCTCCAGGGCCCGCTTCTTCGTAGCTGAGCTCTCACAGGCCCTCTTCGACTTTGTCATCCAGCTCCTGCCCACCGCGGAGGAGATGGCTGTCAAGGAGGACGTCCGCAAGCTGCTTGAGCGTCTCATTCGCACGATAGAGCCAGACAGTCGTCTGCTGTCCTTTGGCAGCACAGCCAACGGCTTCAGTCTTCGCAATTCTGGTGCGAGAGTCCCCGTCTCAGTCGACCTTTGAGCTAGCCTAATTAATATACCTGCAGACATGGACTTGTGCTGCCTCATAGATTCAGAGGAGCGCCTCTCCTCTTCAGATATGGTAACGATGCTAGGAGACCTGCTCGAGAGGGGTGCGTCTGCCTCTCACCCACAGAATGGAAGCCCGTGCTTGTTCTCCATGCTAACGACTACCCCTCAACCCAGAGACCAAATTCCACGTGAAGCCGCTCGCTCACGCTCGAATACCGATCGTCAAGCTCTCGCTAGATCCATCTCCAGGATTGCCCTTGGGCATCGCCTGCGACATTGGCTTCGAGAACCGATTAGCGCTCGAGAACACCCGCCTCCTGATGTGCTATGCCATGATCGATCCTACTCGGGTACGGACGCTAGTCCTATTCCGTGAGTGCTCTTGTCCGTGTGGTGTTCCGTCCAGTGTCTCACACACTCCCGCCCATGCCCCGCGTTCAGTGAAAGTCTGGAGTAAGCGACGGTCAGTGCCCCTGAATCTCTGTTCTTATTGAGGCCGATCCTGACTTCCGGATTTCTGCCACTATTGTCAACAGGAAGATAAACTCGCCCTACTCGGGAACGCTTTCATCGTATGGATATGTTTTGCTAGTCATATATTTCCTAGTCCACGTCAAAAATCCGCCCGTTCTTCCGAATTTACAGCAGATGCCTCCCATGCGTCCGATCAGCCAGGTGACCATATCGGTTTCTCCGTGCTCTTCTCCCTTGCTCAACCTGAATGTAGGATGACACGCACGTTGGAGGCTATAATACTTGGTATGTGCTGTTTCTCTTAGCGAAAGAGGAGAATAGCTAACTTGGCGGTCACCAGGTTTTTCGACGATATTGAATTGCTCCGTCAGCGTTGGCAGTCCTCGAATACCGAAAGTGTAGCAGAACTGTGCGTGTTTAAGTGATATTTTTATCCCAAACTAAATCGGTCTCTTCACAAAAAGCCTCATCGACTTTTTCCGTTATTATTCTCGCGATTTCTCATACAACACTGGGGTTGCTTCCATTCGAGCGGGCCTGTTGAAGAAGGAAAGCAAAGGGTGGCAGAACGATGTAAGTCTCAAACAAGAGTTCAGCATAAATTCCCCTCACCGTCTCTCAGCTCTCAAGTAGTAAATACAACGATGCACGGGAGCGAAATCGTTTCTGCATAGAGGTAGATGGAAACGTCCACGTTTTTGTTCGCCTTCGCTAATGATAATCTATTATAGGACCCTTTTGAAACAGACTTTAACGTCTCCCGATGTGTAACAAAGGAGGGTCTGTACCTGGTAAGTAACGCATAACTTCGTCCCTGCCTAGACTCTCAACGTCCAATGTCATCTAGATCCGAGGCGAATTCATGCGAGCCTCCAGGGTTCTTGCGATGCGACCACGTGCATTAACTGCACTAGCTCAACTCTGCGAAGAACGCAACGAGACCACGCCGCCAGCAGCCGCCAACTCCCTCTTTGTTCCTCCTCGATTGTCCATACCCCCACAAACGCCCTATACTGTCGGCAGTGGCTCAATACGGGCTAAGGACTCTCCAGGACCCGAGAGATTATCGCCGCAACCCGAGTTCTTCGACCCTGAAAATAGACCCGTTGCTGATCGGGACGTGCCGTCGCAATCTCCCCCGGAGCACATGGCTCCCAAACGCAGTCAATGGACAAGTCCGCCGCCGCCGGAAGCGCCTCTGGCTCACCACGCTATGTTCGAGAATCAGCTTGACGAAAGTCTCGCCATCGCGACCGCGTCTTCTGCTGCTCGAGAGGCTAGTCGACTTCGCAACTGCAGCGACGTGTCTGACCTCACTAGCGACGAGGAACCGCTATCAGAAGCGCCTTCTGAACTTGAATCCGACGATATGCATTCAGTGCAGTCCTTCACCGAAGGCTCTCAGCGGATACCGACAGTCTCTCGCGGACCAGAGCTTCGATCGCCTATACCTGAAGACCGATTCCCGAGAGGGCGAGTTTCTTCGCGTGGTGCGCAACACCAGAATGAACCTGTAACTTATAAGCCAGAAGCGCCGCCACCAGTTCGACCTTCGCCAATGCGAAGGCCAATGAACAGACCAGCCACTCACAAAGCTCATCGATTTTCATGGCCTTCATCACTCCCAATACGATACACTATACCCGATCCACCACCTATTGGTAATACCGCACATCTTCGCATTCCTGACTCATCAACTGTATATTACGAAACACCGGTGTCCCCCATCCAATTTTCTACGCCTGCATATCCTGTCACTAATAATTCTCCTGGGCTCACCTCTAACGACCTCCGGAACTTTGTAAATCTGTCTCTAGCCTCAAACTCGGCACATCCTCAATTAATTTCGCCGGGCATGCACGCAGCCCGATCCCAGGACTCTGGCACCTCGCAGGAACCACGAACGGCGAGGCTCCCTCGTCCACCAAATACCCCTTCGCATTCTCACTCGCTTTCCACTGCCACCATTACCCCCGCTGCCGCTGCTGCTGCCGCCCCGCCTTCCCCCATCCTCCAACTCACCCAGCGGCTTATCCAGTCCGCCCAGTCTAGATCTCCCTCGCTGTCACCCTCGCGGCCGCACATATCGCCTTCGGGCTACAGTCACCTGACCTCGCCGCCGACATCCAACTCGCACAGCAGCAGCCCATCGACGCCGTCGACAAACTACTCTTCGCTGGCTCCCTCACCAACGATTCCCCCGCAGAGCCATGACCCATCGCTCTATACGCACATGCATGCGCACATGCACACGCCGGCACAGCGCGACTTTGCTTTCCCGGGGACACAGTCCTCATCCAAGAAACACCGGATGCACCCGTCCCCGCGGATGCTCCCGCCCAATGTCGGCCCCATCGACTTGACGCGTAGGTAGTATTTCGTTCACGCTTCGTTCGTTGGATATCGTATCATGCACCCATACACTCCTTTGGTTAACCCGCTCGTTGCTTGTTTGTCTGCTTGCTTTTTGTTCGCTTCTCTTCATTCCATTTCCATTACATCCGGATCTGCACTCCCCAATTGCTTTCATTCGTCCCCAATCCCAATCCCAACCCCACCTATGCCATTCATATTGTACTCCACGCGCATTACTCATTAAACACCCGCTACCTCGCTCTGGAACCTATCTAGTGAACGTGCATTGCACTGTGAATTCAACACTGCTGCATTTTTATATGAGAGCTGATGTCGCCTAAGATACACGAGTACGATTTTAGAGGAAAGATATAAAAGATTTGATCGAAGTTGATCCAGCCTCGGAGTGCATGCCTTGTTTTCACCGGCATCATATGTCGCGAAATAAAAAGCTTGGTGCGTGGTCTGGGCCAAGGGCGAATGGATTTTTATTGGCATTGAGACTAAAGATGCAATCGATGCGATGGACTATTACGTGGTTCGCCTAGAACTTCACTCTTGCGCAAGGAAAGGGTTCGCGATCTCTTCAGACCCATCGACTGGGCTGACGAGGGTGACTGTCGGTCCTCGTAGGACGGCGAGTCCCAAGGAGCGCGTGTGGGATGGTGCAGGTTCTACAGGAGCGTCAGCGATGGAATCCATACCCATGTTTATTGTTCGCACCGTTTACTACCTCCTCGACCTCGTCCACGACTAGGTTCAGTAGTTGATCGTATCCCTTGAGAATACCGGTTACTAGGGCGAAACGTTAGACAATAAGCAGGCAAAGTGGTAGGATTAAGATATACCTTCCCGACCGCCGGTGAACTTGACGCGAATGCGCTCGTTGACGTATTTCGAAAGGTCTAGGATGGCCTCCCGCTTGTTCTTACTTGAGGCTTTACTAAATGAACTCCCGTATCATGATGAATGAGTGCATACTCACTTTGGCTCGGACGACGATGGTGGTGGGCGTCCTCCTCCTCTGCCTGGGCCAGGAGCCCCTCGTCCTCTGCTGAAGCCGCGTCCCTACAATCGTGATGAGTGACAGACGACAGATGAATAAAAGACACGTACCCGATCTGCCATTGTTATGTTTGAAGTGAAGGATCGAGTACGATCTAGGCGTCAAAGGGCAGTGTGACTAGCCTGGTTGGTTGTTGTTTTGCAAGGGAGATTGTGTGGAAAATTTGAAGACCCGCCTGCCGCGCGACGACCAGGCTCTAGTGTTGACGCCCTCGTCCCCTCTCCCCGTCATAAACATTTCTTTCTCTCCCTTTTCCACTCCCCGATCCCCTCTCCTCCTCGTCCAAGCCGGCGAACTCAGCCCCCCTTTCTTTCGATCTTACGCTAGACGACATTCACGCCCATTTTATCTCGATAACGATGAACGCTACCGAGCTCCTCGCCAATACCCTATCAGCAGGTTCGTTACATACATTCCTCCTTTCTATACTCTTTATAACGCCTCATACCATCGTTCTTTGTATACTATAGATACAAATACGCGTCAAACTGCCACCCAGCAGCTCGAAAATGCGTCGAGGGAGAACTATGTGCGTCCGCGACTAGATCCATCCCATCCCTCGACTCCCCGTTGATGTCACCTTTGATCAGCCCGCGTACTTGGTGATGCTCTCCTCCGAGCTCGCCAACGAAAGCTCTCCCATTCACGTCCGTAACGCAGCCGGTCTGGCTCTCAAAAACGCTCTGTCTGCTCGCGTACGTAACATTCTCAACCACTCGGCCCTGAACTCCAGATCGAGCTCATGCACGCCGCATACAGGAAGCGGAACGGCAGGACGAGTACGCGACGAGGTGGATCGCGTTGGATAACGAGACAAAGTACAAGATCAAGGGAGAGTCTCTCTCTACACTCGGATCTACCCAGACAAGGGCCGGCTCCGTCGCTGCTCAAGTCGTTTCAGCTATTGCTACGGTCGAGCTGCCTCACGACCATTGGCCTGAGCTCATCGAGATGCTCCTCGGTTTTGTCAACAACTCCAACGACGCCAACCTCAAGATCGCGACTCTTCAGGCCATCGGTTTCATCTGCGAAGGCATAGTGAGCGCTTATGTTTGACGCCATAACTGTACGGCTCTCAACACAAATATAGAAACCTGAAGTCCTCAGTGCACGGTCAAACGAAATCCTCACTGCCGTCATCCATGGCGCACGCAGGGAGGAGCCGTCGGCAGATGTGCAGCTTGCAGCAGTTCACTCGCTCTTCAACTCTTTGGAGTTTGTGCGCGAAAACTTTGAACGCGAGGTAAAGAATTGAGCACTACAAATCTCATCGCGAGATGCTAAAGATTATGCAGGGCGAAAGGAATTATATTATGCAGGTAATTTGCGAGGCGACACAAAATCCCAACGTCGCTGTACAAGTCGGCGCGTTCGAGTGCTTGGTCAAGATTATGGCCCTTTATTACGACAAGATGGGCTTCTACATGGAGCAAGCTTTGTTCGGGGTATGTGACTAGAATGTCTGAGTCAAAGCGTAACTAACGGTCGACCTTTTAGCTTACTGTCGTCGGAATGAAGCACACTGATGAGCGCGTCGCTCTCCAAGCTGTTGAGTTTTGGACAACTGTCTGTGAGGAAGAAATTGAGCTGGCCCACGAGGCTACAGAGGTAAGTACACACCGTAAAATTGTGTTGTTTGGACTAATATTTGGCAATTTGGCATAGGCTGCTGAGTACGGCGAGCCACCAGAAATCGAGTCCAAGCATTTTGCCAAAATTGCGCTCCCTGAGATCACGCCTGTACTCTTGTCTCTACTCACCCGCCAGGAAGAGGATGCCGACGAAGACGAGTGGAACATCTCGATGTCTGCCGGAACATGCCTTACGTTCCTCGCCCAGGCAGTCGCCGATTCCATCGTCCCCGCCGTCATCCCCTTCATCGAGGCTAACATCAAGGCCCAGGACTGGCATCACCGTGAGGCTGCCGTCATGACCTTCGGCTCTATCCTCGACGGTCCGGATCCCTCTGTTCTCACGCCCTTGGTCAACCAAGCCCTGCCGCTTCTGATTGACATGATGAACGATTCGAATAGGCACGTCAAGGACACGACAGCATGGACTCTTGGCAGAATATGCGACCTGCTCATCGTCACTATCAAGCCTGACGTTCACCTCCACCCGCTCATTTCGGCGCTCGTCACTGGTCTCCAGGATGATCCGCGCATTATCACGAACTGCTGCTGGGCCTTGATGAACCTTGCTGACCAGCTGGGAGGTTATTACGATGACGACGCGGATGCTGCTCAGACCGGCCCGCTCTCGCCTTATTTCGAGGGCATTATCAATGCTCTTCTCCGTGTCACTGAGACGTAAGTGATTCGTAATGTCGGCTTTCAAGGCATCTCATTTCGTTATAGCGCGAACAACGAGTCTAACTTCAGGACGTCTGCATATGAAGCTATCACCTCTTATGTTACTCACGCTACGAACGATGTCATTCCTGTCGTCCAAAACACCGTATTGACGATGCTTGCACGAATGGAACAACTTTTGAGCATGCAGGTACGCATAAAAAGGGCCATAAATGTGGTCGAGATTTTGACGAAAACTGCAGAACCAAATTGTTGGCGTCGATGACCGCAACAACTGGAACGAGTTGCAAAGCAACTTGTGCAGCGTTCTTATTGTGAGCAACTAGCAGCCTGGATCTTTAGTAAAATCTCATGCTTATCCTTAATTTAGAGTGTGATCCGGAGACTAGGCGACGGCATCCAGCCGCTGGCAGACCGCATCATGACATCTCTCTTGCAGCTCATCCAGGCCGCCGGCAAGACCTCGACCATTTTGGAAGACGCTTTCCTTGTCGTTGGTGCTATGGCCGCAGGTAAACGACATACTGCAGTTGGTTCTTTCTTTTTGCTCATGGCCGTTTTCTAGCGCTTGAGCAACGGTTTGGACCATATATCACGGCATTCCTGCCTTTCCTCCATCCGGCCCTCAAGTCGCATGAGGATACCCAGCTGTGTATGGTTGCCGTCGGCATCATCGGTGATATTTCGCGTGCACTAGGCGAACAGAGCGTCCAATACGCGGGCGCCTTTATGAACGTGCTACTCGAGAACCTCCAAAGCGAGGTTCTTAACCGCAACGTCAAAATTTCCATCCTTGCGTGCTTTGGTGATATCGCTCTTGCCATTGGTCCTTCCTTTGAGCCTTACCTTGAGACGTCAATGACTGTGCTTAGACAAGCTGGCGCCGTTGAGCCTAACCCCGTACGTTGATTTCATGCCCATAATATACTTCCAAGTACTGATCACGTTTCACAGATTGACTTTGACCTTGTTGACTATGTCGCTCAGTTGCGCGAGGGTATCCTCGAAGCGTACACTGGCATTGTTACAGGCTTGAAGAACTCCGAAAAGGGTATGTCCTCATGCATGTCTCATTTCCCACGTGTCTTATGTGCCGTACAGCTTCGCTCCTACTGGCATATTGCCCAAGCATGCTGGAGCTCGTCCAGCGCTGCTTGGCTGATGAGGAGCGCACTGATGCTATTGTCAAGCTGTCCTTCGGTCTCATGGGTGATCTGGCGTCCGCGTTCCCGAACGGTGAGCTGAAGCAAGTTTTCTTGGCCGAGTGGATCGTCTCGGAACTCCGCACGAAGCGCGGTATGCCTCCCGAAACGAGGAAGGTGATGCGTTGGGCTCGCGAGGTTCGTTGCCCTGCTTTGTCGATGCTATGTTCCGGTCACTTATCGCCCCCAAATACAGATGATCAAGCGTGCAACTGTATAGTTTCCTTTTGGTCTGGGTTCTTGTCTTATCTCATTCTACCGCACCTCAATCTACTCCGTTCTCCTTACATACTTTGTTTCCTTTCTTCCATATTCCTCGTTATCGCCCTCTGAAGGAGGCACTGCATTTCATTATTACACATTCGCACAATGTATAGAATGTTTCCCATCATCCTTCTGCTGCCGTTTACTTAGGCAGAGTCCCAATTGCTGAACTTGCGATCCATCCCTGTATCCCTTAACCACCTTTCTACTCCATCCTGGCTGCATCTTAGTGTCTACGTTTCAATTCAAGTAATTGTATTGGAGTTTGTCCCATTCGACCTATCTTTGATACCACCTTTTCTATCTTTGGGGTACCTTTGCTTCTGGTCTTTGCTGCCCCTCTTCAAACTCTTTCACCTGGAAAAGTATCCGCTAAACTTTCTCATGGATCCCTCCGAAGACGTCCGGTTGCACAAAAGATATCAATATTCGAAAACATAGTAATACAAAGGATAATACACATCTACAGCATAAGCAAAGCGTGGTTCATGAAGTGCTAATATTAATATAGGGTTCCTCTTGCTGAAAGGATTACAGTCTGCTTTCCATCAAAATGTTATTCCTCCACCCGAGCGTACCCTTGCCGAACGCAGCATCAAGAGCCTCGCTGACGGTGCGCACGAACACGAACTGCATCTCGCGGCGCAGCTCGGGCGCGACGTCGTGCTCGACGTCTTTGCGGTTCGCCCACGGGAGGATGATCTTGCGAACCTGGGCGCGGTGCGCGCCGAGAACCTTCATTCGGATGCCGCCCACCGGGGTGACGCGGCCACGAAGGGTGATCTACGGTTATGTTAGGATGTGCAGCTGAAGTAAAACTGCGATATGAGGTAGCTCACCTCTCCGGTCATGGCAATGTCCTTCGACACACATGCACCACTAAGGAGCGAGACAAATGCGCAGGCCTACAAAACAGATTGTCAGATCTGCATGCAGTGACTTTCAGAGATAAGAGCACGCACCATTGCAATACCCGCACTCGGTCCATCCTTCTTGACCGCCCCAGAAGGCAGATGCAGATGGATATCGATCGGATCCGGCACCCTAAGCGGATCCATACCCCTCTCCGTCGTAATTCCTAGCTCAAACGCATGCGCCTTCACCCAGCTCAACGCAATCTCCCCGCTCTCCTTGATCACCTCCCCAAGACTGCCCGTCAGCTTCAGCCTCCCGCTCCCAGGCACAGCCGTGCTCTCCACGGGCAAAATCCCGCCCTCGCCCATACCCGTGACCACAAGCCCATACACCACCCCCCTCCTTTCCTCGCGCTCGCGCTCCTCCCCGTCCCACCGCGGCACACCCAGAATATCCTCCAGCTCGCGCTCCTCCACCACGCCCCGCCACTGCTTCTTCGGAATCACCTCGCCGCTCGCCTCCACCTCCGCCTCCGCATCGAGGTGCTCCGCCCACTCGACCGCCTTATACCGCACCACGCCGCCAATCGCACGCTCGAGACTGCGCACGCCCGCCTCGCGCGTGTACAGCGTCGCAATCTGGAGCAGCGCCGGGTCCGTGACGGTCAGCTGCGCCGCCTCGAGCCCGTTCGACTCGAGCTGCTTGGGTAAGAGAAAGCGCCGCGCGATGTGCATCTTCTCGTCATACGTGTAGCCTGCGCTTAAAATGAGTAATAGTTCTTATATTCAAAAAAGCCTCATTGCTTACCAGAGAGCTCGACGACTTCGCACCGGTCCAACAACGGCGCGGAGATGGTGTCCAGCGTATTCGACGTGCAAATAAATAGGACCTGGCTGAGGTCTATGGGTACATTGATATAATGGTCCTAAAAGTAAACGAGCCAATCGTCAATAAGGTAGTACACACAGCAGAATGCCTAATCCTCACATTAAAATTATGATTCTGCTCGGGGTCCAAAACTTCCAGCAGCGCAGCTGCAGGGTCTCCGTGGAAATTGCTATGGCCGACTTTGTCGACCTCGTCACTATAAATGTATTATTATGAGTGGGGTTTCTCATATCCTTCCAACAAACTCACAGGAGAATGACAGGATCCAGTCTGCCCGCCTTCCGCAGTGCCTGGACGAGCATCCCAGGCCCAGATGCGACGTAAGTTCGTCGGTGGCCTCTGTGGCACACCATCAACACCTCTTCCCGAAAACAGGTCACAAGACCAGCTTACCGTATCTCTGCCTCATCCCTAACACCGCCGAGCGATATCCGCTGGAACGGCCGATCGAGCGCCTTAGCAATGGACTGGCCGAGCGACGTCTTCCCAGTTCCGGGTGGACCAACGAACCTAACAAACGCAAACCCATCAATCCAACCATATTCCCTTTTCATCTAAACCCAAAACTCACATCAAAATTGGACCCTTGATCCCCCTCTTGCGAGGCTGCGATGGCTGCACCGGCGGCGCCAGGCGCGGAACCAGCGCGTTGCTGGCGTTCTTCTCGTCCTGCACAGCCGACGCAACCACAAGCGCCTTCTCGTTCGCTGCACCCGGCGAAGCAGTCGCCTCCGCCTCCAATTCGCGCTGCTTCTGCTCCCGCGCGGCCTCCGCCATCGAGCGGAGCCGCACGACCGCGAGGTATTCGATGAGACGACGCTTGATCTGGTCGAGCCCGTAGTGATCCGAGTCGAGTTGTGCGCTGTTGTCCCGACGATGAGAATGACGAGGTGTTTATACCAAAAGAGGGAGATAACACCCACCGGGCCTTGGACAAGAACGCAGGGTCCTTGAAGACTTCGAGGGTAGCATCGGATATCGAGCCAGAGGACGGCCATGGTATACTCGTAAGCCATTCGAGCTGAAGAGAAATTAACCCTCATAGCACCATAAAAGGTCAAGGGAAGTGAGCTCACGTATGTCCTAATCACACCGTTCTCAACGCTTCCCTGGGGTATCCGCTTGAGCCTCCTCCACTCTCTAACGCCGACCTTGCGCTCCTCGCTGCCCAGCTCCATCGCCTCAATCTTGCGCTTCAACTCCGCAAGATCATCCGCGTCCGCCTGTTCGTCATCGTCGAGCTCCGACATGCTATTATTTGCACCCGCAGACGGAGAGTTCGCGGCCGCAACCGGAGCGCTGTCCCGATCACGATTCGTATGCGAGTTGTGGAGGGCATGAAGCTCGCGCTGAATGGCGGCGAGCTGCTGGCGGAGGAAGTACTCCTTCTGCTGACGAGAGAGCGACTCGTCGACAGCGCTCGCGATCTTCTTAGTGACCTCGGAGATAGAAGTCTGCTTAATGAACAGCTCAGTCGCCTTGCGGAGGCGGTCGTCGACGTCTGAAGCGGCGAGGAAGGCTAGATCATGACGCATACATACAGTGAGACCATCACCTAAGCACAGATGGAATATATACGCACCTATTCTGTCGTTGTATTGCCCACTAGTCGCAGCTACCAATACATCCGCCATCCACGCCGCCCGCTGATCGGAGATATCCTCGACCATACCCGCAACCTTGACCCAGTCGTCCTTGCGTTGGGGTTGAGCCGAATCCCGGGCGAGGCGGTCAAGAAGCCTCAGTGCTGCATCCTTGAATGCCTCGACGGTCTCTCGGGAAGGTACACCATCCGCCTGAACGTACTCGACCGTGTGGTCCGGGATAAGCTCGGGCGTATGCACATCCAGCTCGAGCGGCTTCGACAGTCTTATGCGGGTGAGACCATGAAGCGAGAGCAAATACGGCTGCTGTTTCGAGCTGCCCCCATTCAAAACCGAGCGCGGTCGGACGAGGCGGACGATACGAGCGGCGGTGCCGCATGTGGGGAGGACAGGTGGAGAGCCTGGCTCAGTGGCGTTTGCCCCGTCTCCTGCAGGGGCAGGTAGGGGCACAGCGGCGAGAACGGGCTGTGCGGCGTCTGAGTCGTCGATGAGGGTGACGATGGTGTCTGCGACGGTGCGACTGATGGGGATGGTGAGTCGGGCTGTCGGGAGCAGAATAAGCGGGTGGGGAAGGGGCAGGACAGGAAGTCTTGAGGACGGCATAATAAAATGCTTGGACTGTGTCGTCGCTGCGTCTATCTATCGCGTCGACGAGGACTGTAGGACGGACGGATACTAGTAGATGTCTGAGAGGGAGGGGGGAGAAGGAGGAAGCTTGTGCTTGTCAAGCCTAGTGCGGGGACGCTTCAAAGTCGAAATCACACGGCACTGCCAGTTTCACATTCATCTTCAAATGACCGCCTCTTTCCTTCTCCAACAGTCCTCCGTTTAATCCATCAGCCTGCCCCCGACGATGCCTCACAACCGCACTGACCATATACTATGCAAGTATATTACTCAGAGGAGGTAACGTCCTTGAGCCTAGGGCTCCGTGATGTGGCACGACACTCACGCCCAATACGCTGATCGCTCTATCTCCATGCACAATACCCAGGAGTCAGGATGGTAGAGGACGGTGTTGCAGATGCGAACCGGACCTTACCTCTACCTCTACGTTACAAAGGCCGACAGACTTTGAGTTTTAGACTCAAGTACCTTGTTAACCTATGAAAATTAGCTACAGGTGGCTAACACGGTTTGTCACTATGCTTGGTCAGTCTCTTTGCATCCTCGTTGCCCCGCCTTGCTCTCTGTGGCTTTCAAATGCCTTGCGCTCGCAATCCTTGGTCTGCAAGACATTGTATTATTATTGGTGATGACTGCTTTCAAACTATTTTGAAAGGCATGCATCCAGCTGATCCATTGCGAGTAGCTTGTCCAGTATATCTATCTTCCATCAGCACCGTTTACATGACTGACCAACTTGCGCTGTTCCAACCTGACGAGAGGCTCCGTAAATCTATGGCCTACTGTAACCTCAGGTTTTGAGTAACAGTATTGAAATGTGAAGGTGCTCCAACCAGAACTTCCGACGTACAGCAAACGCTGGTTGTTAGCGAGCGGAACTGAGACATCCTAATCTTGATCCAGTGATAGAGTGAGCGGCACCGGATCTCCCTGCTATCCAGGCTTGAAACACCTTGAGGTAGATCGAACCACCCTTTTGATGACTCCATCACTGCTAAAACTCCCACTTTCGTCTCACAGCTAACCGGTAACATGACTATGAGTCGGCACCCCGCTTTTTGGTTCCCACTCCCAACTCATTCCTTGTGATCACAACGAAGGTGGTACAGTGACACTATCTGGGCTCATCAACGCACGAGCCATGTGCCAACTCAATTCATCGGTATTTAAGATCATGAATGATCTTGTACAGCATCGGTTCGTATTGAGTTCGTAGTGCTTATTCTGGTATGAAGTGCCTGTGGGTAACTCTTTGTGATGTCCGTGCCGGAAATTACTAGCAATGCGTTTGCCTCCTCACTTCCGTCTTTATGCTAGGACCCTTCTATGTTCCAGATGAAAGCTTGTTAGGCTTCCGGAGGAAGGTCGTCCATGCTGGGTCATGCTGTGCCAGTTTTGCTCAGGTCATCAAGCTTCATGGATTGTGGTGGGGACGATGGTGATGATGATGGTCATGCCACAGGATCTGTGAAAGTTGGCCTCTTCATCCAATGCTCCACGAGCGTGTGGTACCATGCGCTTCGTCTCAGCATCACGGCGATGTCCTTGAGGATTTCTGCATGCATTGCTTCTAATTGTTCTTATCATAGGTATACCACACCCCAATGGTTTTTCGCGGATTATAAATGGTAGGAATCGAAGACCCCTTTGTGTTCGCCATTGCTCTTGATGTCTTCCCGTTCTTCGCTCGACTCTTCTCGAGGAGAGGACGATAATTTCTTGGACATTGCACCTTCACCTCCTAATCCCAAGACAAGTGCTTCCAATTTATCGTGTAGTGATGAAAACGAGGGGCGCGATTCATCGAATTCCTCAACACTTAGACCAAACTATCGCGAGGACGGGAAGTGGTTCACAGAAGCACAAAATCAATCGCGTACACCTCTAGATGAAATTAAGAGTGAGTTATCTTGCTTATTCATGTTCTCGGTTCCTTGTCGTGTTTCTTTCATATCACTTGCTTACTTGCTGAATCATCATTTGTTTCTTTTCACTGCTCTCAGTTTCCGTGTTCAGTGCCTTCACACGCAAGGATCAGCGGCCCGAATCCGACACCGTACCGTTTACTACCGTGCTGGGCCTGACCCTCACGAGTTTGCGACAAATCTGTCTCGCTCTTCACCTCATCTTAATTTCTCTGCACGTCCTGCTACTCGGCGTCCATTCCACCCATCTAGAGCAACGTGTAATCGTGGCTTATAGCGAGAACTCCAAACTCCCAACTGTGCTCAGTGTATCCCTTCAAGCGTTTTACACGGTCAGAACGCTTTCGTTTCTCTGTGGTCATGTCATCTCATTGGGTTTTGCATAAAGTTATATAGTGCAGTTTTGGTCTCAGTAACCCAGCGGCTTGGTCTCCTTCGTACGCTCTACCGCCAGCCAAAACTTACTACCCTCGCCGATGCTTCAAGCGCATGGTCTGGTCTCGGTAGTGCCCTAACGGGACTATGGATTAACATACGCATGCCATCAGGCGGTATTTCCTCCGCCATCATCACTCTTTATCTCGTATCCACGACAGTCCTTCATGTCGTGAGCAGCAGCATCATGTCGTTACAGCCCTACAACCAAACTGTAACAACTCCCTTGCCCACCTGGCTCGGTTGGCCAAGCTCGTCTTCCAATGTCTGGAAGGCTGACATTGACGATATTACAGATATCCCAGATTGGACAACAATAAACTCCTTGATTCCTGACGAGGGGCTTTTGAAGGCGTTCACAACACTGCGTCCAGGGATCAATGGGTCAACACTTTACGATACGTTGCAGCCAACTTCGACAGTTGGAACGGCGCGAGTCAATGCTACCACACTTGGATATGTGTGCAGACTGGTGCCTGGAATAAAACAGACCCCACCAGACCCTATCACTGCGGCGCTCGAGCCATCAATAACGGAGGACCTTGAATGGAATGGGCTGATGTTTCCAGTTTCGGATGTGCCGTGTAAGCAATCGATTCTTTCCTTTCCTACATTTCAACATTCTCGCTCTTCTTGGAGAAACGTGTTGACCAAACATCCGGATCAGGGACTGATCAGGTGCTCTTTAACGTAATTTTTGGCGACATGCTAAGGGAATCAAAAGTCAATGTAATGTCTCGTTCTCACTTTCATCCCCTCCTAGGCCCGTCTCTAATCATATATCTTAATTTATACAGATTGATGCGCTTTTTATAATCACGGCTGCCCTCACCTCCTCTCAGTCACCCAATAGTTCCTTTGGTGTACCAATGACCTACCACTACGTTGATCCTTTGCCAGTGCCATTAGTCAACGATACAACAGACTCGAAGACAGTACAGGCATTCTTTGCGGGTTGTTCGTTGAACACCAGTCACAGCATTGTAGAAGTTGACGTGCAAACAAATGCTCTCCTAAGCAGCCCACCATCCGTCTCTAGGGACAGCTCATCGGGAATGGGAGGGTTTACCTACCATCGACGGCCACCTTGGGAATTCTGTAGGAAACGCATCGGATGATACTTACTTTAATTGGGTAAGTGGTACTGAATGTTGTACCTGATTGCTGGTAATAATATTTGTTGTCAGCTCACCATCGCCATGGGTAGCTCACTGATCGCCGACATCACAGATATAACATGTAGCCAGAATAATAGTGGAACACCGCCTCTCCCAGCTTCGGTCTTGGATGCGTAAGTAATATGTATAAGACATGTAGTCTACCTTCTAAAAGCTTACTTTTGAATTATAGTCATATCATGCAGCTGCTTGGATTCAATGCTGCAATCATTCGTGGTAATCCCGGTGGCATATTTTGGCCTCCAGGTGATCCCACCCAGTCTATCGCTTTGGCAGACTTCGAGAACGCTCTGGCCGTCACGACTGCGGAGTTGTTGTGGACTGGTATGTACTTCGCCGGAACCATCTGAATAAGGGTACCTTCAGCACTTACTCATTCGTTTATTTCTACTGAACTCAGCGGGTCAATTGACGCAGAATGGGTACAGCCCCGATGTTGTAACGGCAGAAGCAATGCACTTTGAGCTTACTTGGCGAGTGAACGTGAGTGTCTTGGTTACAAAATCATGCTTAAACCGCCAACGACTAACTTGAGATAACGACCCTCAGATTAATTTGACTCCGGTGAGTTCTTGACAGTCTGAGACAACTTGTCCAAAGCTTCTAGCTCACTGACATATACCTTTAGCTTCTCTTTGCATTCTGCGCTTCTGTGATCACTTTAGTGCTGGAAATGATTCTCGTCGGCTGGCAAGTCCATGACAATCCGGCGGTCAGCAATGTAGGCATACTTGAGATGATGTGGCTTATTGATCATGAACCTGCTCTACGGTCCAAATTCAGCGAAGTGGGAAGGCCAACTAACGACAACTTGAGGGAGGCGGGGATGTTTGATGTTCATCTAACAGAGGAGATGGTCGGATGATGAGGGAGGAGTATCGATTGATGTGACGAGAGTAGGCGGTAGTCTTCCTGGTTACCATCGTAGCTCAAGGCTGGTTGCCTTGACGGGCGCATATCATTACAAGGCATTGGTTCATCCGTTCAGTAGTACAGTTACAAAGGTTCCAAAGTCACGCACATCAGGTACCCCGCAGAAATAGGATTGGATACAATGGCTTAGAATATTTACATCAGTCTGGTCTTTGTGCAATACTACGAGTAGCGTTGGAGTAGAGAGGATCTGCGAACGTGAGTGTGAATTTTTGTGAGAACATGCATGTTGGAACATGGAGATTCCCCTGGCGATTCGCCCGCGCCGCGCCAGACCACAACATTTTCTGTAACCGCGCGCCATTTGAGAGGGAACTAGTTCTGTTACAATAAGTAAGTATGTACTAGTCTCCCCTAGGCAGCCGTTTATAGTAAAAAGGAAGATAGTCGATCCTTCACAATACGCTCGGCTCTGTAAAAAGTTCCACATCAACTCCAGAGATGAAGCATACTTACTACACAAGTGGCCTAGCGCAGTGGCACTAATACTTGTGCTCGCAATCACACGGCATTGCCACCTCCATCCATGTTGTCTGAATAATAATCCGATCCAGTTCGCTTGCTGGTCACTTGTTTCCTTCCCCTGCTGATCCTATCCATCCATCCATCCGTTCCACTCAAGTGAGTGAGTGGCGGCGGGGGCGGGCCAACTGCCCGCCACTCACTATCTACAACAAACCTACAAATTACGACAACCCCTTTAGCTGCCTGTCCCTCTAAAGTACTAATGCTGGGAGTCTCACTTTGCGATCCATCATGCCTTATGCATCGAGATAACCACGTGTGAGAACCACAGCTTATGGCTTATAACGTATAGGATCCGTATATCAAAGTTCAAGAAAGACCTTGTGCGTACACACCATTCCTACCTTCATCCTTGTGATCACCTTTCAATCATCTTTGACACCACAACACAAACATGACGTCGAACCATCGTCGTCAACGCGGGGATCTTGCTGAAATTTTTATTGCCTTACCTTGCCTTTCCTGACGAAATGTATCCGAGGCTAGTCCTTCACATTGATTACGCATCAGCATGGCATAGTGCAGACTTCGCCACCCGACAGCAAAACCAACTCTGAGGCTTCTTTCTCGTGGCCTGGAAAGGTGCAAAGGGGGTGTATTACCCATGAGAGGAACAACCTGTGTTATGTTGCTCCTCGCATAAGTAATGCACAATGGGTTCCTTACTCGGGATTCTTACATATCAATAACTTCCAGTGCAGATACTCTTACACAAGACGCAACCACAACCATGCGATGACACTCTTACGACAACCAAACGCCGCCGTCTACCGAAATCTACAAGTCCGATACGACCTGGGTTAGAATTTCGCGAAATCATGGAATACAGTCCACTCACCGTCTGACCTGAAAAACGATCGTCAACGTCAGTCGCATACCTTCTCACACTGTATAGATCTAAACTCACCGGTGATAAAATGCGCCTCCGGCTTGACGAGGTACGACACGATACTTGCGACATCGTCTGCCGAGCCTAGCTTCTGGACAGCTGCTCGATCTGCCATCTAAATGTCCCATAGATCTCTATCATGGCTGTTCCGGTGCGACAGCTAGGATTTACGGCTCACCACTTTGTAATAGTCCCCACCGAAAAAGTTCTGTTGACCCACGGCAGCCGTTCGAGCGTCGTTCAGCTCGCGAAGGCCCTGGACTAGTACAATTGTGGTATCCCTAATCAACGCATGCCTCTAATACACATGAGCAAAACACTCACGCATAGGAGTCACTATCGCGCCCGGAGCATAGGCATTCACCGTTATCCCATGCTGCCCAAGCTCGATAGCTACACCACACCTTCGCATTAAACCACCTTCGTTCCATCTGGAAAGCAGACTCACCAGCACACTGCATAATCGCGCGCACTGCAAACTTGGCCGCGCAGTACGCGACCTGGTTCGGGTGCCCCTTCTTGCCCGCGACGCTCGAAGCCGCGACCATGCGCCCGCCGCGGCCCTGCGCGATCATCTGCCGCCCGGCGTGCTTGAAGCAGAGGAATGTTCCCGTTGCGTTCACGTTCATGTCTGTGGTCCAGTTCTCGATCGTCGCTGTGCGATCGTCCTGTAAGTGAACCGTGGTCGCCCGAGGTATAATCCCTACTTTCGGTGACGGTGCCTGCGCGAATCACCCCAGCGTTTGCGATCATCTATTCTTCCATTAGCCAAGCAATGCAGACGATTTTTTAAAATACCAAGCGTACTAACCACATCAAGGCTCCCAAGCCTCTCCACGGTCTCCCGTACCATTCTCTCCACATCCTCCTCGTTACTCACATCGCCTGTAACAACATGCGTCCTGCGTCCCGTCGTCGCCTCGACCTCCTTCGCCACGCTCTCGAGCGCGTCCTGCGCGCGCGGGAGGTCCGCAAGCGCAACGTGCAGACCGTCAGCAGCGAGCCGGAGGGCGATGGACTTGCCTATGCCCTGCGCGGCACCTGTGACAAGCGCGATACGTTCTGTGCTGGAAGACATGTCGACAACTGGTGGGGAGATGAGAATGAACGAGAAGGGAAGCGCGAGACAACCAGGAAGCTCTGCGACTTCATATGGCGAGGGAAGACCAGGTTACGTCAGTCCCCAGAGCGAACGAACGCAGGAGCACCGACAGAAGTCGGTGCATGGGACCAGTAGCTATCCCCAGGAATGTGCACATGAAGCAGAGGGAGCGCCAAATCCACTTGGATTGCGATGTCCGTGCGCAAGGTTCGAATAATGGGGACAGAAGGAACGCACTCGTGATGAGACCGTGACGTTCCTCTGGGAAGCACTCGAGGTGGTGGCGGTCAGATGATGGTGAGGCAGATAAGAAGTCGCAGGTGACGAGACTTAAAATACGTAGCATGCGTGTCTTTACTGGCGCGATCCCTGTGCATCGCGCTCACCCCACAGCAGTGAGATGCCAGATCTGTTAAGGCATTGTGGTCAGCTTCAATGTTATCGCCTGGTCCCTTAGGAGTTGGCGAGTACCGAGCCTAGATGACCGGCCATCAAGGTTCGCTACTCACCAATACCCAAACAAATCAGCTCGGAATTCAGATAGAGTCACTGCATAAAAGTCAAACTTGCTCGCCAAATGCAGGGACGACATCGAACACTGCGTACAGCGCCATCGACCCATATCAAGCAGCGACATGCAGGAGAGTTGGAGCTTGGCGCAGTCGTAAGCTTATCGGCGCGTTATAACAATCAAGACTCATCCTTAAATGCGCAGGTTAACGGTAGGCTTGCTTCATAGTCGGAAGTCGATATGACAATCACTCCTTGTCACTCCTTCAGCCTTCCTGGCCCTTCTGACTATCGCTGGCGTGCCTATGCCAAAATCCGGGGTTCTCAAGGGCCAATATCAGGACTTACAAACAGCATCTCCGGACATAAAAGCAGGTTTGAAAGGCAGCGACAGGATCCACTTGCACCCACGGGCCGTTGCTCGGTTGCTATGCGACAAGGAAAAGTCTCGGCCTTGCCATTGCCAAGCCGCCGGCTCTTCCCTGCACGTGACAGGCGCGTCTCCGTTCATAAGGCACGTGGATGGTTCGACTTTAACCGCGACACTAACATCAACTTCAAGGCTCTTCAACATCGTCGACTCCGATGTGGACACGCTTCACGGGCTCCCTCAGGGGAAAGCCTGCTGCGGCACAACTCCACCAACTCAACACTTCGGACATCAACATTGGCACTGACAACGACAACGGCCTCGCAAGCGTACAAGAATATCGGTCCACCTCCTCCCTGTCTCACAACGGCAGTGTCTCGTCTCCAGATGGCCTACTATCCCCGACTAGGAAGCCCAAAGCTCTCAAGAAACGTCTCTCCATCCTCTCCAACGCAAACTCGTCAGAAGAAGCATTCGGTTCGAACGACACACGGCGCGACGCTGCACCCGCGCTTGTGCCTACGCCGACACCAGGGGACTTGGCGCGTGGGCCGGCGCCGGTTGAACGCTGTACCGCGGCGGTGGCAGCTTGTGCCTGCGCCTGCGATGCGCGTGTAGGGGCTGTAGAGCGCTTGGCAGCTGTCGAGCCCTTGGTGGCAGCGGCAGCGGCAAGAGCGCCGTTGACGCGCTTGCTCGTTGCGAGTGCGCCCGCGCGGACGCTGGGCGTCTCCGATGTGGTCGACATGGCGGAGCCCGGGCGGATGAACGGGGTGCTGGCAACTGACGAGGGCGCAAAAGACTCGCGCCGGGACGCGATCTTGGCGGGCGCGGGCGTGGTCCCGGCTGTTCCGCGGACACCCATACGGCGTTTAAGCTATAAAAAATACATATGATCAGCACACGTTCTTGGGGGAATGGATGGGCACAACTCACCAGCTCAAGCTCCTGCTGCTTCGAGTCCAACGCGATATTCATCCCCTCCGCGTCCTCCTTGCACTTTTGGTTCGCGCGCTGCAGCTGGATCACCTCAAACTCCCTGTCCGCGCTCGCCTTCTCGAGTTCGCGCACGCGCCTGCGCGCGCGGCCGAGCTCCTCGCCCTCCTGCCCCTCCTTCTCGGCTCCGGTGCGGAGCAACGCCTCGAGCTGCGCGCGCACGCCCGACTCGCGCGCGGCGAGCTCCGCGATCTGCCGCGACTGCTCGTCTGCGACGCGCGTGTGTTCGCGCGAGACGGCGGAGAGCTGTGCGCGGAGGGACTCGGCTTCGGATTCGGTGTTGCGGACCCGCGTCTGGAGGGTGCTGATCTCGGTGTTGCGCTCGTCGACTGTGGACTCGATGTGGGCGTAGTTGTTCAGAAGCATCAGTTTCTCCGACTCGAGGTCGGAGAGCTTTTCCGAGTGGTCTTGCAGCGCGGTGGTGAGATCGTCGATCTGGGAGTGGGCGTCCTCGAGTTGTTTGGTGAGCTGTAGTAAACATCATTAGTCATACGAGATAGGGAGAAATGAAAGTAAGACAGTACCTCGTCACGCTCGCTCTCGAGATGCAACCGCTCATTCTGACTGGTCACCCACCCCTCCTCAATCTCCAAAATACGCGCCTCAAGCACCACACGCAGCTCCTCGAGCTCCCCATTCCTCCTCGCAAGCTCAGCACTATCCCCGCTCGCCGCGCGCAGCGCCTCCACCTCAGCAGCCAACACACTCTTCTTCTGCGCCAGCGCCTCGTTCGCGGCGGCGAACGCGTCCTTCTCGCCGAGCGCCGCGTCGCGCTCCCCCCGCAGCCCCGCAATCTGCGCACCCATCTGCTCCGTGTGTGCCCACTGCGCCTCGAGCTCCGCGCGCAGCATGCCGTGCTCGTGCGTGAGCGCGTCGTGCGCACGTTGCACGGCGCTGAAGTCGTGGTGCAGAGACTCGCGCTCGTCCTGCAGCCGCGCGAGTTCCCGCCTGGCGGCATCGAGCTCCGCGCGCGCGTGCTCGAGCTCCGTCTCGGCGGAGGAGTTTAGCGGATGCAGCGATTCGACGGAGCGCGAACGCGAGCGCGCGTCGGCGTACACGCTCGAGCTGATCATATCCGTCACCTCCGCCGTCTGCTCGAGCGTCTGGCTCCGCAGCCGCGCGATCTCCTCGTCTTTCGCCGCGAGCACCGTCAACAGCTCCTCGACCTCCCGCGTGTCCGTGTGCGCGTCGCTGGTGCTGAGCACGCTCCGTCGCCCCGTGCTCGCGCTGGCGCTGGCACTCGCATCGCTCGACGACGCGCCCGACACGCGCCAGCTCGTCTCGCGCTCGCGCTCCAGCTCCGATATGCGCGTCTGCAGCGCACGCAGTGCACCCGCGCTCGCCTCGTCCATGATGCTGCGCTCAAACGACTCCTCGCGCGAGCGCTCAACCTCGCCCTCGAGCCCACGCACGACGCGCTCAAGCTCCGCGACGCGCTTGCGCCACGCGCGGACTTGCTGTCGCCGCTTGTCGGCGTCCGAGAGCTTGCCCTGGGCGGAAGAGAGCGAGGACTGAAGCGAGTGCACGATCTCGTCGCGCGCGGCGAGGTCGACTTCGTATTGCGCGACGAGGGACTGGTGGAGCGTGAGTTGGGTGCGGAGGGAGATGATTTGGGAGTGGACGTTGGACGCGGAGGAGGAGCCCGAGTCACTGCGCGAGTGGGTGCTGCTGGAGGAGCCGGAGGGGTTGGAGGTGTGCCGCTGAAGGGCGTGCGGGGGTGTTGGGGGAACGTTAGATCCGGGAGTGTAGTAGGTGTTTGCGTTGGCGCGGAAGGGATCCGGTGGACTGCTTGGGTCACCGGGAGGAGGAGCAAGAGGAGGCGGTGTCCGTGCTCCGTACCTGACGTTTGCCAGGGTTTGGGTGTCATCGTTGTCGACCTCGACGAGTGGGTGGGAAGAGGCGACGCGAGCAAGTCGCGAGAAAACAGAGTCGGACATGGCTCGGCTACGAGACAAAGAAGAGAACTTTTGCTTCTCGTCCTGTGCTGGAAGAGGAGGGCTGAAGACAGAGGGCTCTTTTATGCCATCGAGTAGCGCACGAGCAGGTGTGGACGTGAAGGGTTGCTTGTGTTCATCGGAATTAGCAGGCTCTTCAAGCTGAACGGGGTCTTCGGGGGCATGAGGGATGGCGGGGACGTCATTTTGTGACATGTCGAAGATATTTGAGTTGTCCGCCTGAGGTGGATTAGAGGGACGCTGAGCATCCTGACTACGACCTTCGTTGGGAGGTGAGAAGAGCTCCATGACAGGAGTGCGTGACCGGGCGCGCGAGCCCAATGAAAAGTAGGAAGGATCAGAGGCGGCAGAGTTGTCTGCGCTGGTGGCAGAGGGCGTTTTGGAACCCTGGCGGGCGAAGAAGCGGACATTCTGTCCTGATCCAGGGGTCTTGGGGTCGCGGAGGATGGAGCGAACGGAGGAGTGGAATTGGTTGTTGGAGAACTGGGCGGTCATGGACTCTGCTGGGGAGATTGGGGAGGCGATGGATTCGACGGATTCGCGGGGTTCTGCTGAGGATTGAAGTGATGTTGAGGATGAGCCTGTGGTAGAAAGTGAGGCATTGAATTTAAGAGATGAAGAAGACGAACCATGGATGTCAGTCTGGAGGTGGAGATTGGACTTGACCTTCTTGGGAAAGAGACGACGTGTCGATGCTTCGCCCTCGGACGCGTCGGCGCCGCCTGTGAGCCGCTCTGGTGCGTCGGCAGCACAGGGCGCTGCGGCGCGCAAGCGAGCTAGCGTGGGCATGGTGTCGACGTTGAGTGCGGGTGAGGGCGGGGGTGAGGGTAAGGAGAATGCGAACGGGAATGCGACGTTGGAGTCGAGTGTAGCGAGCACGAGCAACGAGCGGACGCCGGTGCCGAGCAGGGTTGCTGGTGGTGCCAAGGCAGGGGCAGCGGCGGTGAAGGCTGCGAGGAGGGCGAGTATTATCCCTGCGTGAGGATGTGGACGATGCGGACAGTAGAAGACAGACGGACGGAAGAAGAAAAATCTCAAACAATAATCCCTCGTCATGATCACGATCACCGCACACACCTGGCATTGACTCCAAGCCAACTTAAACGTTGCAGGACGTTCAACGACACCATGTTTCTTCTTGACGACCAAGCTGAAGAAACTACAACGACCACGACTAATGTATTTTGACGCGCGACATACAATGCACCAACCATGATCAGACCACACGCCTCACTTTCACGAACCGCTCACACATCGCCTTCCACCACTACCTAATTGTCCACGCACGTCGTCTTGTCGTCTGCTGTCTCTGTAGTCCTGCATCGCATCGCTACGTTGTCCCTCGCATCGCATCGCACCGCGCCCTTGTCCACACGCATCCTCTCCCCTGCTCCATTATTGCTCCCATTTGCTCGCCTGCGCCGCCCGTGTTCTGTTACGCTCTCCGCTCTGTAGTGAGCACGTCTCGCGTCTGTCAATATACCGGACGCACAATACCATGTTTCATTTTTCTCTGGCGTGTTTATTTTCTTATCTTTACATCATAATCTCACCTCGTCCATATCCCCGTCTCCCCGTCTCTTTTCTTTGCCTTTCAAGTTTGCGTGACATAACCCCACATAAACCAGATAACAATTCCAGCTTCAGTTTCATTTCTTGTTCTTACCCATTTATCACGGACTCGCCCACCTATTTATGCGTCTTTAAGCGCCCCCCGTTTCCCCGTCTCCCTCCATTCTCCCTCCATACTCATCGTCCTGCCATCCGATTTCATAGCACGCTCATCACTCACCCATTTACCGCCTCATCCGCATCCACATTCACGCACGTCATCCTCAACTTCATCCTCAAGCCGCTATGTATGTCTAGCCCTCTCATCATCATCACGCAGAGTTTTGTGTATTGTTTCTGAGAAGAAGAAAAAGTGAATGGGAGAACTGTTCTGTGTAGATCGGGTCTGAGACTGAGGAAGTGCGGGGTCGTAGGCATTGTGGAAGCTCCGCTAGCGTGATTGTAGGACGATGAAGCCATGAGTTGTAAAGGCGGGCTGCGACGCTGTTCAGAATCCAAACAAGCTTTTAGAATGGTTATGTCCTGGGACATGGTCTTCTATGTTGGACCCAAGACACGTTACCCCGACGACACGGGCTGGTCAAGACAGATAATGGACTTCAGTGACAACAAGTCGTTGAGAACTATTTTCATACATTCTCGCCTCACACGTGGGCTCTGGCTCTTGATGGGCTTCCTGGCGAAAGTAGACCCCAGGTTAACAGCAACAGTTTCTACATTCGAAATCAATTGCATTTATGTAACGTTTGCTTGATGCGAAATTCAACGGTTTCACGTCACTGCCCATCTGGATTATCAGGAATATCAAGATGATTATGACATATCTCCTCCGTCCGACTGCTCCGCGACGTAATGCGACATTGTCCACCGTGTCTCCCACTCGCCCTGCTCCAATCGCTCACGCAGGTGCGCCAGCGCTCGGTCATCGAATCGCTCTCGCAGCTTCTGGCCGTGCTCGTGCTTGAGACGTACGAGAAAGGTCGCAAAGTGGAAGGCTGACAGCGGATTCCGAAGATCGAATAGGACTCCGTTTCGTTCCGCGATCTTTATGCGCTGCTCCATAGAAGCCGGTCATACAGTAAGATCAGCAGGATGTGGGGACAGTATAGTAGAAAACCGACCTGAAAACTCCCGAACTTCTCGGCCCACGCGCACGTAAGGACTGCACGACACCCGTCCGTCACCAGGCTGAAAACGGGGACGTCAATGAGCCCGGCAGCCCCAAAGAACGTTGCGGCGGCAGTTGCAGCCATCCGGTGCTTGTGCGACCCGACGTACGCAAGGATCTTTTCGGGAGGCGTGTGGTTGACGAGCAGTAAAGGTAACTCAAGTGCGAGGGACCGTTCTGCGGCAGTCAAATTCTGAGCACCTGGCCGCCCACTCTCACCTAAGTGATCGGGTGCCAGCGGTGGGGGGTGCTCGACCTGGTACTTTTGCAACTTGCTGTTGGGCCATTGGTACGACAATCGACAGACGGCCGGAGGAGCCGAAAGGACGCCGAGGTCGAGAGAATCTGGGATGTCGGGAGACAGGCCGGCAGAACGGACGTTCGCACAGAACAGATCGTACGCATATGCGAGTTCGGAGTGCTCAGAGGGAAGGTCGCAGATGCCGTGATAGTAAGCCGTTCCACCGCGTGCGCGCACAGTCGCCTGGTCCGGCTCACGAGGGAGTAGACAGAACCTATCCGCAGCATGCCAAAGGGCAACAGAAGAGTCGATGCTAACAAAATCGGGTATGGAAATCGTTGACGCCGTATCGCATATCGCTTCAACAGGGTCATTTTCTACTAGATCCAAAACCCCTTCAAAGGCATCCTCGGATGTGGCTGTGTCGCCGTGACTGAGACCAGGATGGAAGGAAAGATAAAGACCAGCACAAACAGCCTGCTTCCCAAGCACCGAATGGGGACCGGCAAGCACCTTCGCTGCGTCGCGATGCTGACTTCCGTAAACCGTATGTTGACTGATGGTGAATTTAGCCGAAGCTAGCCAGCCGGGATCCTTACGGCGGTCTGTAAGAGCACTTCTTGGAAGTGCAACAGCCGGAAGATACCTATTCCCAAGTGTATGTGAGTCAATCATGGTCCCGAATAGCCTCAGCGTGCGCACCGTATGTTCGAAGATGTCCCGTGCAGAAAACCAGAAACCAGACCGTCCCAGATGTGATCACAAGCTGCCGAAGCACAGTTTCGATCCGCAACTTCGCTTTGCTCTCTCGCCGCCGAACAAGCTGCCATAATCGTCTGGAACTTCGCTAGCAGGTCGGAGGCCGCATGTTCGTTTAGTGAGTCTGCCAATGTGGCTCCAAGGTAGGCAGACTTTTGCTGTAGTAGCTCACTACTCAGTTGACTGAGTTTGCCGTCAATGTCGCTGACGCCTAACTAGACTAAAGATAGCACTTGATCATGGTAACACCATGAGTAGCACATTAGAAACGTACAGACTGGTCCCAGCTCTTGTTCCAAACAAAACGGGTGAGAGACGCGTATTCCGACGGAATGGTACCCATATCAATAAGAGGTAACGCGGAACGTAAAGACGTGATGCGGTTCCAAAGCCATCGGTGAACAGTTTTGTAGGAATGCTTAATATCAGCAACTCCAGATGCAAGACTGCACACAATAAGCGAGACTTAGTCAATGACGATGAGGCACTTGAGGTACTTACTCTAAACATGTCCATCTTGGAGGTGGGCCGACATTGTGAAGTTCTCTGCGGGATGATCAGTAACTAAGCTCGATGGATCACGGTAAACACGCCTAGTAGGTATGTTGATAGAAGATTCTGCGGGCGGGGAGGACGTTGTCGACAGTAGACGTCTGGCTCGAAAGGGCCAAAATTTCAGTTGAAAAGGGCCACTGACATGTAATAAATAATATTACCTTTCGCCAGCATCCGCAGGCATGGCCTCCTCTGCCCAAGCTCGAACAGAAGCCATTTTGTCCATGGTTATATCTTCCATCTTATCGTAGTTAGCAAAATCGAAGCGCCATTCCAGCCAACGTGTTTGTCCTGGACAGCTCATATGATTTGCGAACTCGATTACTCGAGAGAGATATTGGACAAGTTCATACGTAGCCATGGGAGAGGTAACATTAAACCAGCCAGTTCCTTGAATGCGATCCTCCGACAGATCACCGGCGATTGCCACTAAAGGCTATAAGGCCAGATTTAGCGACATCACTTGGATGCCTGGAGGACAAGCCGTAGATACTACGTACCAAGCCATCTTTCCAGGTTGTGCTAGGCCACGCAAGGAAGACCTGCACCATGGGTGACCCGGGTGAAAATCCGAGCCCTATGACGGGCTCTGTTACACCCCATGCGAGACGCTGATAAACAGCACTCCTCAGTAGCGAAATCATGACGGACTGATCTGCTATGCAAGCAATAGGAATTGAGTCAGGGAATTCATGATATTGGGCAAAAAGGGAGTATTGAGAGTTTGAGTCGACATTATCGATGGGCTCCCAACTGTATCGGACAGGTGGTGGTGAGTGGGAAGACTTCATAGACATGGGAAACGAATATGCTGTCTCATAGTCGGACGCCCTAGACGCTGTCTCAGCTCTCGTATCCTCTGCACCGTTCATGATGTCATTAGAGCTCTCTTCGACCTGGTAACGAATATGCGCATGTTAAAGATTGCTTGGGTATAGAACTGATAGAGCGCACTGTATCATTGGTTCCTAATTCTTCTGACATGCCCCGAACCCTCTGCATTACCAAAAGAGCCGCGGTGCGAGCCAGGGGGTAAAAGCGCGCCAAGTCGAGATAATTGGGTATGCACGGTCTAGCAGTTGCAAAACTTGCACTCTCACTGACATCCAAGGTCAGAATAAACCCACAGTAATCAAAACTCAAGCACCAACAGAAGAAATACATGCGGCGTCAATGATTGTGTGACAAGGCGGATTAGGTTGGTAAGCGTTGTTGGCACGTCGAGAGCACTGTTCTCTTCTGTTGCAACGCCAAATGTGGCCGAATCAAAATTGACTGATCGAAAAGTGTTTGCATGGCTGCAACAACGATGTTAGACGGACAAAGGATATTGAGACAAAGACACTTACCTACAGTCACTCCGCGCCATAGGTAACCAGTCCCTCGTTTCAGGTAGGCATGTATCGTCATTGATAGAGTGATACAGGATGCCAGAGCTATCAATTTGCGGATTCATCACGATTACTCTGGCAGCATCGGTTGATTCGGGTGTATCTTATCGCGAGATGTTGGAGGAGTGGTTTCGAGAGACGTGAACAGAGTGCCAGCTCTTCGGCCAATGCCGCGATTATGAAGGCGCCTTGTCGACAGTGTCTTTCTCGATATTAACGTCAAAAAAAAACAACAAACTGAAGAGTTTGGGACGCTACTTGCCTACGAACAAGCAACGCCTGCAAGCTTTGAGCTTCATCGACGCAATTTGCGAGTTGTTGGCAACGAAATAGATCATAAGAGAACTTGATACTGTATTGTATTATCATGGCTAATGTATGTTCGCGACAACATCAATCTCTACACTATGGCTGAACCTTCCTGGGAGGGAAATGCTTCTGCAGAAGCTCTAGGTGATCTGCGAGCCCTTGCTCATAATGCGCAAGGAACTGCTTTTTGAGGGCATCATGGTCGTGGCCGTTTGCATCTAAGTACTCTTGCCAGTCGCTGGCTAGCTCATCCAATTTGGTTCGCCAGTCGGCAAGGAACCGCTGACACAGAGGGAGGAAAGGCCCATAGTCTCCAACTTTCATTTTGCGGATTGCGGTAATAGGATCGGAAACGGCTGATCCTCTGCCATCGACGCTGTCTGCAATCTTTGTGCGCAGCCTTGCAAGCATGGGTGGTACTGGTCCCTCAACTCTGTGCCATACCGCCGCCCAGACCGCAACAAAGAAAAACGACCACAAATCATCAATCGGCGAATGGAGGTATGGGGTTTCCAATTCGGCAGCGACGATCAGAGCTTTCGACATGAATTCAGTGGTGCCCTTGGGAGAAAATAACTGAACGGACGTCACGAAAAGGAAGGAGAATCACCTACTGAACGTACTGCCGTCTCATCTTCCTTGAAGTCGTAATTGCGGAGGTTGATGGACAGGTCCCCATCGATCACAAAACCGTTGCAGTCGTCGTCTATCTCAAGCGCCTCCAAGAACTTCTGGATCTTCTCTAGAGTCTCTGAGCGATCGCCTACTTCATCCCGCCGCTGAGACGAGAGCAAGTCTTTTACCGCCTGCAGCACGGATTTCTTCTTCTGAGCAGCCTTGCTCAGAAGCACATTGCCAATGCTGATATCACGGTGCTGAAAGCCCTTGCGCAACATGTTCCAGTATCCTAGGAATAGCGGTCAGCAAGGCTTTCTCTGCTTCTGAAGAACAATAATGTACCCAACATTGCGTGTGCGATGGCCGTGAAAAGCTCTTGAGGTGAGTCGGCCGTAACGAGAGAACACCCGGCAAAGCTGGATATGTGTTGCAGTAACATTCGATATTCTGGTAAAGTGTCCTGTACATCGCTATTGAATACCTTCCAGCGCGTAGCAAACTCTAGGAAGAGATGATTGGTCGCGGGAAGATCTTCCTTGTGGTGGACTATAGACGAGTAGTAATGCTTGGCAACGCCAAACTCATCTCCGCATGCCTCAAATAGATCCTTCTCTGCGTCGAGATACGGCGCGGATACCCAGGAGCATTTACTGACAAGGTCAAGATTTTTGTCCGGGAAGATGGCATTGTTGATTGAGAGGCTGTCGGGGCGCTGTTGTATGGAGCGAATCTTGCCCTGTCGCATAGAGGCTATCGTCGTGAGTGGTTGGAAACACGGTAAGCATGGCCTCATAATGCATTGGAGGAAAGACGTACTCGCCGTCAGCTGGACAGCTGAACTACCTTGAAAAACTCCATTTCCACTGCTAGTCGAACTAATATCCCCAGTGTCGAGCGGCAGGGTGAAAACATCGTCATCTACGTGGGGGACAATAGATTCTTCCAGGATCAGTGAGAACAAGACAATGAGCGGTCAATGTAAACACACCAAGTTTTGCACGTTTCTTTTCCGAAGCAGCAGCTTCATCCAAATGACGTTTTTTGCTAGCTGATATTCCGTGTGTCATCGTGACTGGAATCGTCGTCGGACCGTCCGAGTTGGGGACCCCATCATCCGCACCAAGCCATAGGCGCCAGATTTCAGGACATCTGCCCCGCACGGCCAACGTTCTTTGAAGCACTTCCGTAATCCCGAGTCTGGTCTCACCTTCGCCACCCTTGCTGGGTAGACAACACGCTGTATGGTCACACCATTCGGGCAGACCTACATCTCCTTGAGTTTGCCAGGTGAGGATAGCAAAGAACAGACGAAGGATCTCCTTTTGGTCGTCTCTGTTGTCTATCCTGAGGGCCGTGGAGGCTGTAAGACCGCCGGAGTGATAAACTAGGAAGCGAAGATGCTTGTCGACGTGATGATAACCTAGGGCCAGTGAATATTGCCGCAAGGGGACAGCATAGAAAAGCCTGCGCGCATATGTCGCAGCCTGAGCGACTAAGGAACCCCAAGACTCGCTTTTGACTTCAACGGGGATGAGAAGCTCGCGGTGCGTATCCTTGTCCCGGGCTTCATCGGGAAGAATCCATGAGAGCTTCTTGGGAGGAACCGCTCCAGCCGTCTTTGAAATATACCCGGCTATGTCAGGCCTAATTTTGGCGACCTGACCTATGGCATCACCGAGGTCCTTATGGTACGATATGAAGGACAAATCGCTGTAGAGAGGTGTGTCCGCCTTGTCTATGAGATTGAGAGCAGCCTTGAGGCAGCACTGCAGCCACGTTGCAAAGGGGACGTAGTGCGAAGATTCTGTGACGATGGGAGGGAAGTCTATGCTACTCTGAAGCGTCTCAAGCTCTTGAACGGCCTTTTCTAGTTTGTCATCGTCAATATGAAGGTGAACGTCATAGTGCTGTATGGAGTCTTTGTGGTCATTGTCGATCGAAGGAGCACTGCACTTGCGAGACTTCCTGGAGAGCGCAGGGGCAAGATCTACCGGTTTCATTTCCCATGTAGCACCCCAGAGCTCACTGCGCATCATATCCTCAAGTTCATTCTTTTGAGCAGCAATCTTAGGTGCTTGCTGAAGACGATTGCTGTTTGGTTTGGGAATCCGTCTGAGACCGTTGGGAGGGGCGCTTGTAGGACCGCTGGGAAGGTCGCCGAAGAACATTTGCCTGTGCAACTTTTTGAAAGGCGTGCGCGACGAGGGTGCTGGTACAGGTTCAGGCGCGGAAGAGGGACGTGGAGCATCGGTCATGGTTGTAAGTGAGGTTGAGCTGATTGACGAGACACGACAGTCGACGGTTGAGTACTAGTTGGGAGGCGAGCGCTTGAGCACGCGGGTGCGCGCTGGGTTCGGAAGTTCGGCACCTTTACACAACACAATGTCAACAAACTGGAGGTGGCACGGATTTTTCGACGCTACATGCCTACGAACAAGCATATGCTTCCAGCTTCCAGTGACAAACAATCAAACAACTATCGAGTCTACACCAACCAACACTACCTCTGGTATTGTTTAACCGGCATTCTCAGTCCGTGGTGTGTCACAGGCACCAAAGTTAGACTCGTGATCTGTCTCAGCTTATGCGGCCTAATAAGGGCCAGAGGCTCTCGCGTCGGCGAGACTGGGACGGAATGTCGACTCGCTGGGGAGTTTGAACTGGGCTCGGCCCGAGAAAGATCTAATCTACAGGGGCTGATTCTCTTTGTTCGGACGGCGTCACGATCACCTTGATAAATCTAGAGATTATAATACCAATAAACCGGACTGAGCAGACTACATCTTATTTCCTTTTATAAAAACGGTATCACTGTCGCACCTGCTTTCACCACATCGACGAGGAAGCCCACCAGAGCAACAGCCAACGTGAGAAGCGAGAAGTGTAAAGCTGATATCATGATCCTCAGCATGTCTTTATTTCATGGCCCGCACGTCCGGGCTCAACAGAGCCATTTATGCATTGGTCTTGATAGCGTACCGACTACCTTGGAGTGCGCCTCGAGCTAGACTATGACTAGACACGCCTGCGACAGGCCCGCCTTTACAGCTTAGTTTCTCGACAATCGCACCAGGCGAGCTCTCACAATGTCTAGAGCCCCGCACTTCCGCAGACTCTGACCACATCTGCACAGAGCACTTCTCCCATTCGCTTTTTCTTCTTCTCAGAAACAAACAATACACAATACTCTGCGTGGCGATGAGGAGAGGGCTAGGCATACATAGCGGCTTGAGGATGAGGACGAGGATGAAGTTGAGGATGGATAAGGTGCGTAAAAGTAGATATGGAAGTGGATGAGGATGAGGTGGTAAATGGGTGAGTGATGAGCGTGCTATGGAATCGGATGGCGGGACGATGAGTGTGAAATGAGAATGGAGGGGGACAGGGAAGCGGGGTGCGCCTAATACGCATAATTATAAATAGGTGGGCGAGTCCGTGATAAATGGGTAAGAACAAGAAATGAAACTGAAACTGGAATTGTTATCTGGGTTATGTGGGGTTATGTCACGCAAACTTGAGACGTAAAAAAGAAGAGATTGGGAGACGGTTATATGAACGGGGTGAGATTAGGATGTAAAGATAAGAAAATAGAAAAGCCACAGAAAAATGAAATATGGTATCGTGCGTCCGGCATATTGCGGACGCAAGACGTGCTCACTTAAGAGCGAAGAGCGCAACACGGGTGACACAGGCGAGCAAATGGGAGCAATAATAGAGCAGGGGAGAGGATGTGTATGAACGAGGGTGTGATGCGATGCGATGCGAGGGACAACATGGCGGTGCGATGCAGGACCAGAGAGACAGCAGATGACAAAACGACGTAAACGATTAGGTAGGTGGTGGAAGGCAAATATGTGAGCGATTCGTGAATGCGAGGCGAGTATATTCGTGGTCTGATCATGGTTGGTGCATTGTATGTCGCGCGTCAACACACGTTAGTCGTGGTGGTTGTATCTTCAGTTTGGTCGTCAGGAAGAACCATGGTGTCGTTGAACGTCCTGCAACGTTCAAGTTTGCTTGGAGTCGTGCCAGGTGCGCGTCGTGGTCGTGATCAAGACGAGAGATTATTATTTGGGATTTTTCTCTCGTCTGCCTCTGTTTCTTCGCTGCCGTCGTCCCCACATACCCATCATCCACATCCTCATGCAGGAATAATACTCGCTCTCCTCGCCGTCTTCGCCCCCGCCCCCGCCTTGGCACCACCAGCAACCCTGCTCGGCACCGGTGTCCGCTCGTTGCTCGTGCTCGCTACGCTCAACCCCCAGCGTCGCATTCGCATTCTCCTTACCCTCACCCGCGCCCTCGCCCTCGCCCGCACTCAGCGCCGAAACCCCGCCTACGCTAACCCGCTTGCGCGCCGCAGCGCCCTGTGCTGCCGACGCACCAGAGTGGCTCACAGGCGGCGCCGACGCGTCCGAGGGCGAAGCGTCGATAAACGACACGCGGCGCGACGCCGCACCCGCGGTCATGCTTGCGCCGACGCCGGGTGACTTGGCGCGTGGACCCGCGCCAGTCGTGCGCTGTACGGCGGCGGCGGCAAGAGCGCCGTTGACGGGCTTGCTCGTGGCGAGTGCGCCCGCGCGGACGCTAGGCGTCTCCGAGGCAGCCGACATGGCGGAGCCCGGGCGGATGAACGGGGTGCTGGCAACCGACGAAGACACAAAGGACTCGCGTCGTGGCGCGATCCTGGCGGGCGCAGGGGTGGTCCCGGCTGTTCCGCGGACGCCCATGCGGTGCTTGAGCTATGAAAAATACAGCTGATCAACACACTTGTTCTTGTGGGAATGGATGCGCACGACTCACCAGCTCAAGCACCTGCTGCTTCGAATCCAACGCAATATTCATCCCCTCCGCGTCCTCCTTGCACTTCTAGTTTGGGCGCTGCAGCTGGATCACCTCAAACTCCCTATCCGCGCTCACCTTCTCGAGCTCGCGCACGCGTCTGCGCGCGTGGCCGAGCTCCTCGCCCTCCTGCCCCTCCCGCTCCGCACCGGCGCGGAGCTGCGCTCGTCGGCTGTGGATTCGATGTGGGCGTAGTTATTCAGGAGCATCAGTTCCTCCGACTCGAGTCGGAGAGCTTTTCCGAGTGGTCTTGGAGCGCGGTGGTAAGATCGTCGATCTGGGAGTGGTCGCATCACTAGACGACGCGCCCGACACGCGCCAGCTTGTCTCGCGCTCGCTTCGTCCATGATGCTGCGCTCAAACGACTCCTCACGCGAGCGCTCGACCTCGCCCTCGAGCCCGCGCACGACGCACTCGAGCTCCGCGACGCGCTTGCGCCACGCGCGGACTTGCTGCCGCCGCTTGTCGGCGTCCGAGAGCTTGCCCTGGGCGGAGGAGAGCGAGGACTGGAGCGAGTGCACGATCTCATCGCGTGCGGCGAGGTCGACTTCGTATTGCGCAACGAGGGATTGGTGGAGCGTGAGCTGTGTGCGAAGGGAGATGATTTGGGAGTGGACGTTGAATGCGGTGGAGGAGCCGGAGGGGTTGGAGGTGTGCCGCTGAAGGGCGTGCGGGGGTGTTGGGGGGACGTTAGATCCGGGAGTGTAGTATGTGTTTGCGTTGGCGCGGAAGGGGTCTGGGGGACTGCTTGGGCCACCGGGAGGAGGAGCGAGAGGAGGCGGTGTGCGTGCTCCGGACCAGACGTTGGCGAGGGTTTGGGTATCATCGTTGTCGACCTCGACGAGTGGGTGGGAAGAGGCGACGCGAGCGAGTCGCAAGAAAACGGAGTCGGACATGGCTCGGCTACGAGACAGAGAAGAGAACTTTGACTTCTCGTCCTGTGCCGGAAGAGGAGGCCTGAAGACAGAGGAGTGGAGGTGGAGACTGGACTTGACCTTCTTGGGGAAGAGGCGACGTGAACCGAATGCTTCTTCTGACGAGTTTGCGTTGGAGAGGATGGAGAGACGTTTCTTGAGAGCTTTGGGCTTCCTAGTCGGAGAAAGTAGGCCATCCGGAGACGAGACACTGCCGTTGTGAGACAGGGATGAGGTGGGCCGATATTCTTGTACGCTTGCGAGACCGTTGTCGTTGTCAGAGCCAATGTTGATGTCCGAGGTGTTGAGCTGGTGGAGCTGTGCCGCAACAGGCTTTCCCCTGAGGGAACCTGTGAATCGTGTCCACACCGGAGGCCCGTGGGTGCAAGTGGATCCCTGCTTTTATGTCAAGAGATGCTGTTTGTAAATCCTCATATTTGCCCTTGAGAACTCCAGGGTTTTGTATAGGGCCAGGAAGGCTGAAGGAGTGACAAGGCACGATTGTCATATCGGTTTCCGACCCTGAAGCAAGCCTTCCGGCGCAATTGATTATAACGCACCGATATGTAGTAAGCCTACGACTGCACCACGCTCCAATTCTCCTGCATGTCGCTGCTTGCTCCGGATCGTACGCAGCGTTCGATGTCGCACCTGCATTTGGCGAGTAAGTTTGACTTTTGTGCGGTGACTGTTTTGTTTGGGTAGTATTGGCGAGTACCGAGTCTAGATAACCACTGGCCATTAAGACTCGATACTACTCGCCAATTCCCAAGGGACCAGGCAAGACATTGAATCTGACCACAATGCCCTACCAGATTCAGCATCCCACCGTTGTGTGGTGAGCGCGATGCGCAGGGATCGCGCTTCTAAAGGTACACATATGCATGCCACGTATTACAAGTCTTGTCACCTGCGACTTCTTATCTGCCTCACCACCGTCTGACCGCCACCACCTTGAGAGCTTCCCAGAGGAACGTCACGCTCTCATCACGAGTGCGCTCCTTCTGTCCTCATCATTCGAACCTTGCGCACGGGCATCGCAGTTCGAGTGGATTTGGTATTCTTTCTACTTGATGCACACATCTCTAGGGAAAGCTACTGGTCCCATGCACCGACTTCTGTCGGGTTCGCATACTCTGGGAACCTGGATTTTCCCCGCCATATGAAGCTGTAGAGCTTCCCCGTTATCTCATACACCGCTTCTCGTTCACTCTCATCTCCCACCCTGTCAGCATGTCTTCCAGCATCGACCGCATTGCGCTTGTCACAGGCGCCGCGCAGGGCATAGGCAAATCCATCGCCCTCAGACTCGCCGCTGACGATCTGCACGTTGCGCTCGCGGATCTCCCTCGCGCGCAGGAGCCGCTCGAGAGCGTGGCGAAGGAGATCGAGGCGACGACGGGACGCAGGACGCATATTGTTACCGGCGATGTGAGTAACGAGGAGCATGTGGAGAGAATGGTGCGGGAGACTGTGGAGAGGCTTGGGGGACTCGATGTGGTTAGTACGCTTGATATTTTACAGAATCGTCTGCGTTGCTTGGCTAATGAAAGAACAGATGATCGCAAACGCGGGGGTGATTCGCGCGGGCACCGTCACTGAGAGTAGGGCTTACACCTTGGGCAACCACGTCTACCTGATGATCACACAGCGACACTCGAGAACTGGACCACGGACATGAACGTGAACGCCACCGGCACGTTCCTCTGCTTCATGCACGCCGGGCGGCAGATGATCGCGCAGGGCCGCGGCGGACGCATGGTCGCGGCGTCGAGCGTCGCTGGCAAGAAGGGGCATCCAAATCAGGTCGCGTACTGCGCGGCCAAGTTTGCGGTGCGCGCTATTACGCAGTGTGCTGGTGAGTTTGTATTCTACATGGAACGAGGGTGGTTTGATGCGAAGGTGTGGTGTAGCTATCGAGCTTGGGCAGCATGGGATTACAGTGAATGCGTATGCTCCGGGTGCTATTGTAACTCCCATGCGTGAGCCGGATTCTACCTGTGCATTGGAGGAGAACACGCCTATTGAGAACTATAACGTTATAGTCCAGGGTCTTCGCGAACTAAACGATGCTCGAACGGCTGCCGTGGGTCAGCAGAACTTCTTCGGTGGGGACTATTACAAAGTGGTGAGCCGTGTTTGTTGACTGCCAACCTGGAACGGAGATGAGCTGAGAGAGAGAACTATGGGACATATAGATGGCAGATCGAGCAGCTGTCCAGAAGTTGGGCTCGGCAGACGATGTCGCGAGCATCGTGTCGTACCTCGTCAAGCCGGAGGCACATTTTATCACGGGTTAGTCTGGATTCACATCGTTTGAGAAAGTATGTGACTGACGTTGATGATTGTTTTGCAGTTGGTGGTGGGCAACGCCCGCCAGCAGCGCGTAGCGCTTACATAAGCAAAAATGCCCGAATCCGCGGCACACCTCACATCGCCGCTGCTCAGTCCCTGTTCTCTGTCTCAAATCAGCCTCAATATCAACGTTTTCGGCGCTGAATATATTTAAGGTAAAGTAATACTATAATCTGAGTCTCTAAGATGATACTAACATTATATTAGCTTTGATCAACCGTCAAAGTCACGACTCCGGTTCGACAGGTGTTTGATTACTGTTATCTTGACCCTGGTACTGCTGAGCAACGTTCCAGACCACTTCGAGTAGCTGAGCCCTCGTACGTCGGCCTGCATAAGGTATGTCTTTTACTGTTTTGAGTGTGCGATGAGCCTCCAACTGATCCCGCAATAACTCTCGTTTCAACACGGCAAGGGCAGAGTGTTCAAGGATCAGTGGGATCTTGCCATATTTTTCGGTGCGTTCATCGCGAATCCTCTTCCTCTCGAGCTCTTTTTGACGGTTTTCTTCAACGATCTTCTTTCCGTGCTCGATGAACGCTTTTTTTCGTCCTGCCTCTATCCCGCTTGCCTGAACCTCTCGTGCCTTTGCATAGATCCATTTCTTGTCCGTTTCATCTAGAACTGTGGTTATGAATTCTTCAGTATCATTCCGGCGGGTCATCACCTGGTCAGAGAAGTTATCTGAGGTAAGGCTTGGATTTTCGCGAGAAGCCCGTCGCCATGCGCCAAGTAGTCCCTCATTCTCGTCATTTGTTGCAGGTATGAACACCAGGTCAGTCTCCTCTTCGGATGCCGTTGCTATCAGTCCGGTAGATTCAAATTCTGTGGTGAACCGGTGCCAGGTGTCGAGTGCACCTTTCAGGAATGCAACTAGCACCTCATTTAAGTTTGGTAGCCTGTCCTTGCGATGCAGAGTGAGAACAGCAATAACTGCTTGTTCATTATCCCATGGCCTATTATCAAGTGTGGCTTTGATGTATGAGTTCTTGATGTCGTGCTCCATAAGAGCACCTGGATTCTCAATCAGGAATGAGATGTGACTTTTGAGATTTTCGTGGAACGGTCCAAGTGTGAGCATATTGAGTTGTTCAGTTCCCGATCCTCGAACATGCTTTAGATAAGGTTTTGATACTGCCTGTGAATAAAGAACCAGTACTGCCAGTTCTGTGCAAGTGGGAGGATCCTGGAGCGCGTTCTCTAGGTTCTCCTCCATGTGATTGAGCTGGGAATTATCTTTGTTGAGACGGATGTATTCTAGAAACTTGATGTAATCATTCAAATGCGTCAAGAGTCGAGTAGCTGCATCACAGTGAGAGTGGTAGCGAGTATTGCTTGTGTCAGGAAACTTAAGAGCAATCCCCTTTACATTGGAGAAGTACATTTCGTGGACTGCTTGCTGACCCTTCTTATTGTCTCGATGGTTAAAGATAGCACCTGCAAGACTTGTTGCCTTAACCCCACCCCTAGATGAGAGATCAAGAGCACGTTGGACTGATGCAGATGCGGCGCTTGCTGTTTCTGCTAGTTTGATCGCCGCGGCATTATCCTTATTGGCTAATAAGATAGGAGGTGTAGCCTTGTTCTCGTCCCACCATAACATCATCGCCGAGTTCCCGCCTTTTACAGAGTTGAGCTCCTTGTGCATCGAACATCCAGCCCAAAAGAACAAGTCCACCGAGCGCTTTTCCTCTGGTGAAAGCGAGTTGTGAATCTCTGTACCAAGTTCCAAGGCAAGTTGTTCCATCATGTTTGTGACAAATGGTTCTCGAGCGCCCGGTGACATTGAATCCCAAATCTGCTGACCTCCAGCTTGTTCTACAGCCCGAGCCATTGAGAACATGAGAAGGGATGCAAGCTCGTTTGGTGCTCCATCACGCAGATTCTCGAGCTTTGCATAGCCATAAGAGGTACGAATGGTCTTCTCTTTCCATTGCTGCCAGAGCCGGTATGTCTTCTTTTGATCACTTGCATGATCAGTGTTCATTCCCTTGAGTTTCAGTAGAAACTCATTGAGATCTAGAGAGAGATGAAGCCGGCGTGCAAGAGGACTTTCGTTAAAAAGAGCAGTGATCTCACTAATCTCATCCTTCCATCCAGCAACTTGTGCCTCGCTTGTGTGGCTAAGAGACGGCTTAATCGAGACAACACGGATCTTCCATTGGCTCTCAGTCTGAGAACCTGATTTCTCGGCATCCGAATAGGTAGGAGCTTGGACTGCAATGTGCCGGGCTTCGAAGTTACGCTTTCGGACAGATGTGCTGTCATTACTGATGGAGAATCCTGCCCTCGTTTCAGAACTGGTATGTGCATTTGTATTCGACTTATGATACTGACCTTTACTTTGTTTTATCTCAAACCCGAGCTGCACTTTCGCTGCAATAGCTCCTTCTGTGAGTGCACGGCTCACTGTCCTCCTGCTGATGGTGCGGGAAGCCGCTTTTCCTGGGCTTGATACAAGAGCTGTTATCCGGTTCACAACACGTCCAACTGCTTGTCGAGAGCAGCCTGCATTCACCAGATCCCTAGCAAGAGCACGCGCTTGAGCTGTGTAAGCCCCCTTCTTGACTAAGCCAAGCCCTGGGTGTGCTCTTGACCGGTCAGTTCCTTTGAGCGCAAGTTTGATGTTCTTTTCTAGTGCTCTCTTCACTCGGGCCTTCAAAGCATTGCAGCGGGAGTGAAGCTCGGTTACACATCTCCTGTGTGTGGCCTTCTCCTGTCGATTCTGAGCCTGCAAGAGAAGGACCTGCTGCTTCAGCTCGCAGTTTAGCTTCTCAGAAGCGGTGAGTGCTTCCTTTGCTTCTCTAGTAACCTTTGCCATCATTACTGATACCTGAGCTTTCTGATATCGCGAGTCCTTTGCCCGTGAGAGCCTCTTCAATACATTCCTCAACATTGTATGGTGACGCTTGGCCCGGTTTGTAGCTGCTGCAAGTTCAGCAGCTTTGTGTCGGAGATCTTCTTGTGCAACCTGTAAGTCATACTTGGTGATGGAGAGCTCGGTCTTGACCTCCTCCACTTCTTTTGCTAGTATCCGTGCAGGTGGAAGGCGTCCACCAGCCGTCTTTGGAAGCTGATTGACTGCTTGCTGAAGTACTCCAGCCCGGTCAGTGACACGTTTTTGGGCAGCTGAGCATCTTTTTTTGCGATAGCTGACCATATTTCCGCGTTTTCGGGGCGATGTCATTTTGAAAGGCACGTTCTTTCACTTCCTACGGTGCCGATGACGAGCTCTGCTCGCAGGTGCGCGTTTTGCTTGGCCTTGACGCGTCGCGCGTCGCGCGACGCGACGCGCTTTCCAGCAAGATAGGGGCTTTTGGAGTACCAACTCCAACAGACTTCAAGATGAGGTCGCCCGGTCTCGTTTTCATCAGGCACAAGCGTGATACTAAGGGTTTTCATGTAGAAGAACTAATTGTTGGGACCTAACAGTTATCATTCTTTGTAATACATTCTGGGGGCTTCTGCAGCAGCTCATTTAACTAGGTTCTCCTTGATATCTAGACTCCGCGGTCCCAACAAAATGTTTGAAATATCAACATTAGTCACTCCACATATCTAGAACAGAGTCACTGCTCGTGCGTCCGGTGATCTAGTCACTGTGTTGTCGATTTCAGTGCACTCTCCCTAATCCGGGTCCGTGGGAATGCACGGCTTGCTGGCGGGCGTTGCCCACCACCATTTGCAGGTCAAATGGTGAGTGGACTGTATCCCACAAGTTCGCTGAAGCTTAACTCGGGTTGTCATGGTATCGGACTGGTAGATCTCGGTAGATGGCGGTGTTTGGTTGTTGTAAGCGTGACATTGCATGGTTGTGGTTGCATCTTCAATGTAAGAGTATCTGCACCGGAAGTTATTGATGTGTAGCAATTCCGAGTAAGGAACATGGTAAAGCACATCGCTTATCCAGCGGAAGATGGCGCACCTATTTTCTGTCAGAGAAGCAATACATTGTTCCAAGCCACATGAAAGAAGCCCCGCATTCAAGTATTACTGGTGGGTTGAGGTCTATGCACTGGTAGTAGCACCAGTGTTCTTTAATTGCTGACCAGGCAGTAGTCAATGGGAGGTATCTAAATGCTCTATTGTTAACTCCGTGCCTGCCCGGAAGTATACGGGACGTTCGAGCTAAGCTCCACTAGGGATACCGTGTCCCAGAACGCTAGTGTAAGAACTCAGAGGGAGAGCGTAGGTTCAGTAGTTGACTGTAGCAACGCGGAGGGGATGGGAACAATACCGGAGGACCGGCGTAGAGAGAGCAAAGGTACCGTAGGCACTGGAGGCTGATGGAAGAGTACCGAAGTACAAGGAGAGGGAAGACTTGAAGATAGATGAAGACGCAAGTATTGCAGAAGACACTTGGAGTAGGAATTGCGGGAAGGACTTAGATGCAAAGGGGAGTAGGGGGCAGAAGTAAGTCAATATTCATACTGAGGAGTACAGGCTAAACTACACGAGTATTTATACTACTGCTCCGGAGTCGGAGGTAATGTACAATGAGTAAGGAACGTGCGGAAGGAACAGATTGTTAGTAAGTAAGTATGATATGAAACATTGGATGCAATATTGTAGCAACTGCGGAATGATAGAAATGTCAAGAAGTGTCAAGGGTAGACAGGTGGCAATGAGACTAGTAGGAAAGGAGGTAATAAGGAATGACACCTGTCAAACATATAGTGAGGAAGGGTAGCAAGGTGGCTGTGTAGACCAGAACGTCACCGTAGGGACTGGAGCAGGACCAGAGTGTGACATCTATGCTTGGTGAGGTTAGTGTGACAAAGGACAATTGCAAGTATAGCATAGAAGTCTATAACAGTGCAGACTCACCGGGCTTTAGTGTTGAAGGTTGAGTAGATAGCTGGTTAGGCTGGTTGGTTGACAATGATGGTTGCTCAAGTAGAAGAGACTTAGAGATAGAATTCATGGTAGCAACTGTATATATATGACAGGAGCATGTGAAGTCACTACTGTATTTGTGGTGCTATATAGTCCAAGTCCCACAGTAATGTAGGATGGCTACATAAGCTACATGACATGGCTCAGTGTGATGGACGTGGAGCCACACGTAAGCATGAATGTGTAAGGTGCTAATACTACCAACTGGGGTACCTAGTGCTGTGTAGACATGTGTAGCAATGTTTACTTGTAGACCTCGTAGAGGGACATTGCGTAAAGGAGGACTTCTGTATGAACCAATAAAGTTGCAAAGGGTCAAATACTAGACATAATTCTGACACATTGCGCCCTCAATAATGTGTCCCATCGGACAGCTCCTGAACCACAAACTTTTCCAGTGCAGTACCAACCATCCACTTGATCTACATGGATGCAGCAGACTAAATAGTTGCACAGCTTCAATATAAAACCTAACCCTAAGCTAAAAGAAACAGAAAAGTGTCTTTCCCCCCCACTACCTTCTTGACTATGCACCAAACACTAGTCATCTTCTTGTGTGCATAAAAAATTGATGAACTTTGTGAGTTGCTATCAAATTAGCTATATCCTTGACCAACAACCCAGATCCATGCTCACCTGGAGGGCTTTGTTTTATTATCACTAAAGGGTAAATGGTAACAGGCTTTGCCATGCACTGGCGTGCAACACTACCAATTAATACCTGAATGTTGCATGACATAGCTATAAAGTGTGGTAAATAACATGTATATGAGGCTTTGAAAGATGCAGTGGAGGCTACCAAACAATACTCACTAATATAGAACCAAACTAGCTTGTGGTATATTTCCAGAACATACAACCTTCCTTGGTAGTACATCAACCCCTCCTGCTCCTCTCACTTGATCACACCTTCTGCCAACCTCTTTGGTCCACCCTTCCGCAGTTGTGCCAGTCCTCCACCTCTTGTTTGCTCACCCTCCAGATCTTCTCTGCAAGCTTTGACTGCAACTCCATAGCAGCAATCTTCCCAAAGTACTTGGTGCCTAGGGTTACTCTGTTGTGAAGACAACTAAAGCCCCCTATTCTTTTCTTTCTTTTCCTTTCCTTTCTCCCTCTCTTTTCAACACTTAGACTCAGGTCTGGACACCTCCAGGGACCTCCGCACTTTTTTGGACACCTCTGGACACTCCAAAGATTCCAAAGGTTACTCCAAGCCCAGAGTTACCTTGGACCTCTTATGTTCTCTTCCTTCACTACTGTCCTGCTCTGGTCCTGCTCTGGTCCTGCTCTGGTCCTGCTCCAGTTCCACTCCAGCCTCTACAACAATGTTCCAGTCCACACAACCACCTTGCTACTCTTGCTTGCTATACTGTACCTTTCCGATCTTAAGTTCTCAGTGGCATGGGAAAGTATTACAAATTAACACCTTCCTATTCCGTATGTCCCGAATTTAGGTTCGCTGAGTCCTGTAGAGGTGGGACAAAGTTCGTGTCTTAGGGTGGGTGAGGGTGGGTGACCCAGCAAATGAAACTGAGGATGAGGATGCCATGCAGCCGAGCATCAGCCGGGGTGCTTTTGTGATGCAGCACACAGAGAGTGGTCCTTATAACAGCATTCTATTTCCCGTATAGTTAACCTTCTTACTGTTATTCATTTGGTTGTGTTTGGATTCACTGCTGAACGCTGAGAGGGGACAGATCCGGAGTTTGCTAGAAGCCCCCTGTTGAATGTAGTGATGCGTAAGCCATGAATGTACGTGGGTTGATAATCCATCTTGGCGATTCATTCAATGCTGGCTCCCCTGTTCACAGACATTCTCCTTGAGAGGCCTTGGCGATATGTGCCCCTCGCCAATCGACAGTTTAAAACGGGCGATTGCGACCCCACTTGCATAGTCATTCCAGCGGTTCACCTCTCTGATTCATGTCTCCTACTGCAACATGTCCGCCGCTTTTGTAGTAGGCATGGTAGGGCTTGCCAACAAAATGCGCCGTTCGGAGGGCAACGGCAGCGCCCAGATGTTCTACTGTTACGATGATTCCACGCTCCTGTACTTTGCCTATGTTTTCAGCTTTCTTTGTTTGTCCTTTCATATATAATAGTGTTGCACATTTGATGTCTCACGTTCCGTTCTGCCAAAATAGTATGTTGTTCTCACCCTCCTGTATAACGCGCTTGCGCAATCCACGCCTTCGTTGTCAGAGTGCCGGAGAGCAGCGGAGGCATGTCTTGTATGACATCAAACAATTGTCTTCAGTTGCAACTTGAAGCTTGTTATAGCATTATGCCACTATTCACTCTGAATTATTTATGGTCAGAATTCTCCCCATCATGTAGTGACACTTGCAAAGAAGGTAGATTATCAATGTGCGTGAGACATGCAAGCTACTGGTTTATTTTTCCACTTGTTAATATTGTTATTCAACATGTTTCTTCATTTTATTATTCTACCATATGTCCCGTTTCTAAGTTCGCAAGGGTCCAAATCAGTGGGACTGTCCCATGTTCTAAGTTCTGTTCATGGGCCCATGGGACATGGGACAGAACTTAAGATCGGAAAGGTACAGTATGCTTGCTCTTTCCTTTGCTGTTTAGAGCCAAGTCCGGACCCTCCAGTTATCTCCACGCATCTCCGGCCACCTCCGTACCCTCCGAAGATTCCAAAGCTGACTTCAG